AATGATTTTGTCACCGAAAGATTTTGTTGCTCCTATGACTTTTAACGCCATACTTAAACCGCTATTTAACACCAGGAAGAAATGGAAGCTCCCTAAGTATAAAATCAGTTTGATAAACACAATTTTGGAACAAAGTTTCTATGTAGTTGTTTATATAAATCCGTATACATACATATGTACCTGCATACAGTCAATGTAACAAGTATAGGCAACCCCCACACAAGCTAAGTACAGGGTGGTTAAAATGTCACGCCACAATGGAAAATTTTTCAATGGGAAAAGTCCCAAAATCTCCATTAGTTACAAGATTTGGGATTGAGATTTTTATAAATTATTATCAAAACTGATGACAAAATTCTTAAAATGTTGCATTTTAGAGACAAAATTTCGGTAACTAATGGAAATTTGTGGATTTTTCCCATCGAAAAATTTTCCATTGTAGCGTGACATTTTAACCACCCTGTATATTTGGCTATAACTTTGGAATGCATTATCAAATTAGCATGAAACTTTGTACGCATTTGAAAAATCTAATGTAGTATCCGATTATAGTAATTTTTTACTGATTAAAATTAGATAAACACAGTTTTCGAATAATTTCTTGGGAAATTTGCAAAATTTACCCACAAAAAGTATTGGCACCCTTGAACTTAAAAATCATAAGGCAAAGAAACGCCAATTTTAATACGACAAATCGCTTCTGGTATTACATAGCAACTCCTCTCGATACAATAGGAGCAGAAACATGCCATCGAATTGACTCCAGAAGTTTCTTTCTGACGCTTCTTGATATGACTGCACTGCCCACTCTTCTTTCGAAATTTTGCCAAGCTCGTTTTTCGACGAGTGGTTTTCCACCAGTCGCTCTTTTCTCAACCCGGACAATCAGATTCACATCGGGAGACTGTGCGGCCAACGAAAGAGGCTTAATCTTTTCAGTCTCCAAAAGCTTGCACCGTTAATTTGGATATATGTTTGGGGTCACTGCATTTTTGGAATATGAAATTCCTTCCTAGGTCGGGTTTTGGTCAAATGATTTCAAATTATCGTTTCGAATGATTAATTAGACCTCCCTGGTCATGATTTCATCGATAATGACCACGTAGCTACGCCGCGAACTGGTCATTTAAGCCCAAACCATAATCGATCCTCCTTTATGTTTAACTGCCATATTAACATATTCGTCTTTGTGAGCCTTTAATGGCACCCGCCAGACTTTAACCATTCAATTGGCTCCGAATAAGTAGAATTTGCTTATGTCGGACCAGCAGACCCTTTTTTATTCATTGGAAGTCTGTTTAGGGTGGTGTTTAGCCCATTACAATTTATTGAGTTAGTTGGTTTTGGGGACCCCCGCGTCAGTCTGGCTTCTGGACCCTGAAACCCCATTGCATGATTTTTGATTGATCACCAAATTGAATGATATATTAACCCCACACTTGGTTCTCAAATTCAACATGGTTTTGGGAGCCGAGATCTTCCGATCTCGAGTGATTTCTTGCTTGATTAATCTGTCGATTTTGGGCTAAGGTGACTTTTTCAGCCGGATCATGGGAAACCAGCAATTTAAAATATCGCTTCATGTTTTTTGGCTAAGTTTCGAATAGTAAATATTGCGGGGGATGTTTTATGTCTGAGTTTTTGATATCCAAGCTTGTTTGAGAAGGAGGCAAGATTATTTCTCGCTCCGCCAAAAATATAGCTCGTTTGGTGTCGCAATTTTGGCTCTAGACAATACCAATCTGGACTTACGAAGCAGATAAAGTTATATTTTGTGATCTGATTAACTTACCGTGAGAATAGGTAGAGGTTTATCGTCATAAAAATTTCGCACAAGCAATTAAGCCATAGGTTGCCAATACTTTTTGCAGGTTGTAACCTGACGCGTTTGTGTCAAAATCAGAATAACGTTACGGTTATTTAATTTCAGTCGGGAACATGATTATAATTGAACACTACATTAGATTTGCTAAATGGGTACAAAGTTTCATGCTAATTTGATGATGCAATCCAAAGTTATAACCATTTTTATTTAGCTTGCGTGGGTGGTGCCTATACTTGTTCCATTGACTGTATATGTGAACGTATGAATCTGTGAAGTTTATAGCTATACCTAAATAAAACGTTTCTTAAATACTACCATTCACCCTCAATTAAATTCTTTAAATATGTATCAGGTACTTTGAAGGAAGACAAGAACTAAATTGATAGATAAGTATAACAAATAAAAAGATAGTTAATGTACTTGAACTGGGAACTATGGGATGGGAACTTGATGAGTACGTACATATGTAAACACATGCATATTTATGCACATTGGATATACCCTCGTCCTTCCCCGGCACTTAAGTATTTGATGGTGTAGTTTAGTTAGATAAGTAAAATAACTAGTATGATGAATTAAAAAATGCCTATGTATTCAACAATGGATTCACAATCGGGCCTACTGTTAAGATTTGAAGAGAGGTTTAATTCCAGGCCAATCTTGTATAGATGTATATTTGAGAGATTGTGAGGTTTCAAAGTACATCCGACTGATCCAAAAAGAAATTCAAAAGTGTTTATAGTTGGACACTAAAGAGGAATAACGTCAAGTTCATTGACATGGTTTTGATTACATAATGAGGACATGGATAAAAATTACTTTGTTTAACGTAACTTAACCTTGCTTACCTTTAGACATGATGTTTTATGTAATTGAATACTTTAATTGACTAGTTATGCAATGGTTAAGATAAGCTTGCAAAGGCGAGGACGAGACATGTAGTCTTCAGAAGGTATTCGCCTAACGCCACGCAACCTCCGAGGGAGGTTACCTACCAATTGTAGTGAAACAATTAGTTTAGTTTGAGACAGGGTTTTGGAAGTTGAGGTAGTATAATTAACGATACGTGTTAAAAGTGACTGAAATGCATTGTCCTTGTCCGTACGTATGTACATATGGCATACATATATGTATATGTAATAGAAATCCTGTTATCGGATACAATCAATTCGAGTACATAACATATGCAATTTTGAGCGAATACACATTTTCTTCGGATTTTATTGTTTGATGTTTTTAAGTACATATTTGTACCATGTTACATTTGTATGCAAGATTTTTTTACATCTTGTGCATATTACATATATATATAATTAGTTAATTAATTACATGCATACCTTACGCTTATGTTCACAAAGAAGTAGTCAAACCCTTGGTTTTAAATTTTTACACAGTTTGAAGTTACACACTACAATCTAAGCAGGACAAATATACGGTACACAGGCTTAGGATTAGCAATAGTGATTGTAAGATTGATAATGCGTACATAAATAATTATAGAGGAAAGTTACACTACAGGAAACTAATAATCTTTTTTCCAGGTCTGCAATGCCGTAAAAGTACAATCAGCAATCGCTTTGAAAACAATTAGCCCCGTGTTCCTCTTCGCCCTTGTAAAAGTACCAATATTAACTTCTAAGGGTCTCAAAGAATTAATAACTTTCCGATCCTGTTTTGTAGGTTTTTCCATTTTTACTTTGTCTAAAAACCGTTTCGAAAATCTATTCGGGTGTCTTGTATGATTAATTGCAGTCTGAAGAGCGATCCCCAATAATATCATAACCATGGTCACAGTGCCGTAAATTACTGCGGGTAGCTCATCCCAAAATCGTACGACGAAATAGTTCCCTGCAACTTGCGATAATCCACCAAAACTTACTACGTAAGGTATAATCTTGGCATTTATATTTGCATCGACATAATTCCAGTAAATCTGAATATTTGTGTACAATTTAATCTTAATCCGCCTCATTCTCCAGGAAGCTAGTTGCTCCCAAAGTTTATCGTCTTCCTGGTGCAGAATTATAATCTCGTTCATTTTGACGATGGCCGTGAGTAACTCCGAAATCGTATTGTATGCAGCATTACCAAATTGTGTAAGGAAATTTCCAGCTGCAAGAAATTGGAAGGCTAACCAGGTAGAGAAATTTATCCGCCAAAACAATGGAATTAACAGACCGATCCCTTCCTTAAAATTGAGCATGTTTGGGAGCAGAAATTCGGCGAGTTTTCGAGTGGGATCAATATTCAACAAGACTGCCACCATGCAGGCCCATGGGGATAAAAGCACTGGGAGGATCAAGAGTGTCCGAGACAGAAGAGTTGTCAAATTTACAGATTGGTTTTTATTATGGACAATCTCTCCAGCACCTGCGAAACTCGTCATTTTAGAAATTTTTGATCAGCTTTATAACCTTATAAAGTCATATTATGCACAGGATAATATGGCATTATTTGATATATCCAATTTCAAAAAAATTAAAATTGCTTGGTGTGAGCTTGGTGTGAATTATGTATCATTTTTCAAGAATTCTTAAGTTTAATTCAATTCACTACCTTTCATCGATTTGTGGATATCTGCTAATGGATTGATCATGTTGATAAGAACTTGTGGAGAATGGACTAAAATCCACATCCCTGGAAATAAAGCTGACGATAGTAACGCCGTAAAGAGAATTGAGATTAGTCTCAAAACGAATAATGTTGAATGCTGATCTTGGTATGATATTTGTTTTGCAAATAGTTGATACCAGGTTTCTGCATAGAATGATAGAATTGAAGTTGTGCATAATATTTCAGTCAGTCTCCTGAAGAACACTACGGGTTTTGAATATTTGCTTGGCTTGACTAGTTTACGATGCTTCCGGTCGATCTTGAATCCAACTAAAAATGTCAATTTTGAAAATATTTTGTGAAATGATTCGATCAAGATCCAGTCCTCTTTCGAAGCCATGTTGATTTTTACGCTGGATACTTCAACGCTTAGATTTAAGCAGTGAAGAAAAAGATGAAGATGTTACTAATTTGTGCGCCCTGGACACGTGCATAATTTTGTCATGTATATGTCCTGTTATGAAATAAATTATTTAGTATTTTCGTATTTATCCAGAAAAATTGGGTTTAAAGAATACAATAAGTTAATCCGTACCTTGTAGTGACTGGCTATTAGTTAAATTATTTAACTCAAATATTCAAGAAATACATTAATAATTCAATTGTTGACTGTCAGGAAGCAGTACTAAATAATCCTAAATTCCTAAAAGTAAATGCATGCATGGAAGAGTTTTCGCATACCAAAATATTGGTAGAGCATGAGACTGAAATAAAATTTACATTTTTGTAATCAATATGAAACATATCAAACTCGGATGGACCATATCTTGCAATCAATAATTCTACCAAACTGCATAGGCACTCTTTGGTATTTGAAATAAGAGAACGCATGAATATTTCTAGTATTAATTAAGTTGAGCATTATCGTGTTCATGAATTAATTCCCGTACACAAGAACAACAATTAAAAAATAAATATATATCTTTTTAGGTCACACCTTTTATGAGTCAGTTTCGGTTCAGATTTTCAGCAGGTGGCTTCGTTCCTGGTTAAAAATAAATTGCGAGATTTGGGGCTACAATTATTTCAGAATTGTGAGTCAAAAATCAAAGTTTAAAAATTTCTAGTACAAGAATTAAAAAACTACTACAAAAAATAATTTGCAACACACTCAACTTAAATTTTAATGGTTCAGGAGTAAAACCCAAAATTATGGCGACCGAACTGGACACGGAGAAACCTTGCGGTCCGAAAAATCAGGAGCAATCCAAAGTTAACAAATCTAGTGAGGAAATTGGCCTTATCCCCGTAACAAGTCAACCCCGAACACAACCAGAAATGAATCATGACCATATTCCAGTCGCCCCCATGCGGTCGTTACCATTAAGTCATTCGCCCGAAGTGAAGGAGAACGAGTGGCCGTGTTGCTTTTGCTTCGATCCAAGAAAAGAAAGGATACATCGAGATGTTTCAAGACGACGGGAAAGAAGTCGGAGTAGTAGAAATCCTTGCCAAAAGTATGTGGACTGCTGCGAAACGGATGTAAGTTGTAAGAGCTGCGATTGTGACTCGGAGTGAACGGATTGTCATTAAGTAGAAAAATTTATTACGAGATATTTTGCTAAAAGTTTTGATATTTAAGTTCTACTTTATCATACAAAATAGTTCCGAGAATAATACAAGCGTGGTAAAAGTCGTAAGGGTACATAGAAAGCTTAACAATTGAGCAATTTCATAAACAGTCACTGATTACTACAAGTTAGGATATCTGTAGAAATAATTAGATTCCTTATCATCTCCTCGATTAGATTTTTTGGAGTATTTACAAAAAATAGTGTAATCGAATTGTGTAGAGCTTTATAAGTATCTTAGTTAATTTTTAAATTTTGTAACAGAATAAAGAAAAATCCGTAAGGAAAATCCCGAATAATAAATTTGGAAAGATTTTCATCCTCGATTATCGATCGATTATCACATTTTTAATGAGCAATGCGACCTTACAAATATTAATTAATTAATACATGTCATACAAAAACTGAATTGAATAATACAAATTATTATAATAGAACATGCGTTATTTCTTGCAACGTAGAAATTTCTGTTGAATTTAAACTCTCAGGTTTTCTTAAACTTAAATTCTCCTCGTTGGAAAAACTATCAATATGAAAACCAACAAAGTACGCGATCCAAGCCATGAGAAGGATGCAAATTGCTAGAATCCGACTCCAACTTATTTGCACGCCTAGATTTTCCAGAACCCTGAACATTTCAGAAACTAAATCCATCACAAATCCAAACGCCGTCATGACCAGTCCCAACAAAAATGCGCCCGACACCATCATCACGATCGCTTCGAAGTCCAGCTGCACATAATTCCCTCTGGCCCAGGTGACCACCCAAACGACAAAGTTATCCTTGCTGACCAGGAATGGAACGGAAGTTTCCCGATATTTCAGAATCCACACGAAAATTTGTTCGCTCTCTGAATGAAATAATTATTATGAATTTACATATGTACAAAATTCTATTACACTTAATTGAGGTCGAAATTATCTTTATACCATTTTCTCCAACCAGCCCGAGTGTATCCGGTTCAGCAGTTATTGTGCAGGTAAAAATAAACACACCAAGTGCCACTGAAAAGGTGGTAATTATTAGCAAAATTACTAATATAACAGTTGTAATAATGGCGTGTTTCAGTTCGGTGAAAAACATGATTGTGTGTATAGGAATATTTACTGGGGAATGAAAATTTAGTTTATTGCAGTTGCACCAATCCATATGTACGGACGTGAGGTGCATGTATATAAATAAATACTGAACTAGAAGTGGATGTTGTGTATGTAAAGTGCGAGCAATGCAAACTTTCTTAATAGTTAAGTAAGATGCATAAATGAAACGTTTTACGCAACGATCTCGCATTAAGTAAAAGTGAGTAAGCTATTTCTTGTATGCGACATTTGCTGATCCTGAAGTACATATATTTCTTTCACCAGTTCCGAACTCTATATTGCGAAGTTCTTGGCAGTGAGACGATAATGCTCGAGCGAAATGCATGAACCCAGTTCGGTTTGTTGTACTCAAGTTTATGTAGAGAGTCATCAAACTTTGTATACATATATTTTGCCGTAGTAAGTATTTAGTCAATAGGATTATGTGCATGTAAATACATTGGACAAGACAGCATGCAATTCCGGACAATTTAGTTTCAAGAATGACATTCACCAGGAGGACATTTTTAAATCTGGCCTTTACAATTTGCCAAGAAAAAACACTATTTCGGGTCAGTCAAGCTATTTGTTGATTGTGCTAATCTCGAGGATGATGACGATGCGAGAAATTGAGTTAGTCGTAGAAACACTTGACACTTTTCCTCGTGATTAAATTTGGATCGTTAGCATAATTTGGGATACCTGATAAGCTGAAATCTGATATGAAGTGAGGTGTATATATGTGGGGTACCTCGAGATTTCTCATTTTTCTTAGAAATTTTTTTTACTATGTATACATCTTATATCAAACTCTCAACAAACTAAACAAAGATATAGACCATTGGGTCTATGTATTTTTCGCATGTGCTCATTTTTGCATGAAGATTGAACTAAAAGAGTGAACATTAAATTGGTACAAACAAATTTCAGTAACACTCATGAGATTTTATTATTTAATTTTGGTAACATTCATGACAGAATTAATTCATATTAAATATGTTAAAAGCATGTCAAAATGATATGATAATGAGCCTAATCAATTAATTGATTGCATTAAATGACGTGTTTTTCTGTGATAAAATCATTAAATCATTCTCGTGCATCCTGTGTACTATAAGATAACAATTTTGGAGAGATCTTCGTTTTGCATAAATACTGCGGAGTTTGGTTCTGGTTGTAGTTTCGTAGGTTGTAGGTTCTGGTTAGTTTCTGTACACATTTGCAAAACAATTTGATAGTCTGGAAAATTCGACACTAAAACACTTGATAAGGTAACAATCTGAATATTTAAATTCTAGTACATTTATTTTGTAAATTAAATATAAGGATTTTTGTCGGACAGATATTACAAATAAATATGACGCCCAGCTCGCTTTTCCGTGTGACAACTTTCTGTCTCTTATTTTGTGGGATTGCAGTTTACTCAGTTTTTGGATTCGGACTTGCTTGCTACAGACAAAACGATTATGTGAACGGGTTCATTGCCAACTACACAACGATTGGAAATCGAACATTTGCACCCACCGATTACGTGAGGTCGGCCCGATGGAGACAAAACAATGAAGGAGCTTGTGTCAAGCTTTGCAATGGAACGATCCAATTGGCAGCTACTTGTGGAAACAGTTTGGATTGGGCACCAATTAATAATACCAACGCGACCAAAGTCATGATTTATAATAGTTCAATCAATCCATTCTGCTAAATGAGAATTTTAAGATATATTTTGCATATGCTCAAACCTACAAGGCTTGTACATAATAAAGAAATTTTCACCTACTTCCATTTGAGCGAAACTTTCTGCATGAACTTGCAAAAATTTTGCAGATTCAAAATGCTAATTTCAATTGATGCATAATCATCCCACAAGAATTGTTATTATGTTTACTAAATAAGAAGAAAAATAATTAATTTCCAATAGTTTTGCAAACGTAAATTGAAAGTATAATTTTTGTGCTGCGAATAAAGTGCATGTGTTTGATACACTTAATGAGGGCTTAATAATAAATAACACTGGTCTGGAATCATGAGCTCAATATCTCCAATATTTCATCAGTTACATAGTCCCCGATTTACATGATAAATATGAATGATTACTTCATACTAATTAAATATACAGTGTCGGACAGATGTCTACGTCCACATAGTCGCGTCAATTTCATTTTCAAATTGTCACTGAACTACTGAACCAATTTTCATCATTGATATATCAAATTCTCACAAATTTAACGTAATTTCATAAAACATATGAGTTATTTCTGAAAATTCTGGGAAAACTGAGAATCATAGTGCAGAGCGAGAGAGGATGAAATTTGAGCGGACAAAAGTCTACGTCCACTTCACTTTAATTGTCAACAACAAAAATCTCTCCAATTTATAAAATCAGGTAATTTTTAAATAATTTTCTTCCAGAAAAATATGATGGCGTCGACACGCAAGGAAATTCCTATCGCTATTCGAGATCTTGTCATTCAGGACTGGAAGGGTGGACAAAAAGGGGGCTGTCGCAGAGACAAATATGGACCAAGTATAAATTAGCAAGGACAACCATCCAGACAATCATTAAGAACTTTAAAGCTAATGGTTCAGTCCAAAACAAGGTCAGAAGTGGTCGAAAACCCATTTTGGCTCACCGAGAAGTACGCCACGTGCTCAACAAAGTCAACGTTACACCCTCACTTAGTGCTCCAAAGCTATCTACCGAGATCAAGGAGATGTTCGGCAAACAGGTTAGTCCTATGACCATCCAAAGAACACTGAATAAGGGAAATTTGAAATCCCACAGAGCAGTCCGGAAGCCTCTTATTGTACCGAGGAATGCAACCAAACGAGTGAAGTTTGCCAGAGACCACATTTCCAAGCCACAAACATTCTGGGACATATTTTATGGACTGACGAGTCAAAGTTCAATGTCTTTGGGTCAGATGGGCGTCGTAGAGTGTGGAGATATCCAAAAGAAGCTTTGAATCCAAAAAATCTCAACCCCACAGTTAAGCACGGCGGCGGGTCGGTAATGGTGTGGGGATGCATGGCTTCAAGTGGGGCAGGAAAAATGGAATTTATTGACGGAATTATGGACCAATACAAGTACCAGGGAATACTTGACCGTAATATCCAGGAATCTGTTCGAAAACTTGGACTTGGACGACGATTTGCCTTCCAACAAGACAACGATCCGAAACACTCTGCCAAGTCCACCATGGAATACTTCAAGAAAAAAAAATTCCGAAGCTAGAATGCCCTCCCCAATCTCCAGACTTGAATCCCATTGAGCATCTGTGCGACCACATTGAAAGAGAAATAAGAAAACAATCTTTTTCAGGAATTCCGGGCCTTAAATCCAGAATTCGTGAAGTTTGGGAAACCATTTCTGAAGATGTGACCAAGAATTTGGTAAACTCAATGACTCGACGCCTTGAAGCCGTCCTTAAAGCGAACGGAGGCCCAACCAAATATTAAAAATTAATTGTTATAACATTCCTTATAAATTACAGTTTTTTTGTGTTTTCTCTGACTGGACGTTGACTTTTGTCCATCCAATTGTTTTCATTTTGAATTAAAATACATCTCTGGCCTAAAATAAATTTTTTAGCGGAAAACTAATAATGTGCTATGAAATTACGTTAAATTTGTGAGAATTTGATATATCAATGATGAAAATTGGTTCAGTAGTTCAGTGACAATTTGAAAATGAAATTGACGCGACTATGTGGACGTAGACATCTGTCCGACACTGTATGCCTTATCTCTTTGACATATACATATATATAACAATAGTCCACACCCATCACACTTGCAGAAGCATTTCACCTGCTATGCATATTTGTCTCTCTTACAAATAAGTAATTTCTCTCCACGAAATAACCATGGCTAAAATCAGCAACAGAGAAACACCGCAAACTTTTCTACAATTAATATTTATACTGACGAATTTAGTTTTGTATGTGTTATCTCAGCAAAATGAGACTTGCACCAGAACGAGAAGAATCACGCCACGAAGTTTTTTTAACGTTGAGGACATGCTGGGCCTTTGGTACATTCACGAATTGTACGTCGGTGAAGAACAAGACATTACGGAACCTAATTTTAGTTGTCTCCACTTCACGTTTTTCAACAGCGGAATAGATTCTTTAGCAACAGAAGAAGTGTATGTATTTAAAATTTCGAAAATAGATTATGTGATGGATAGATAAATATTCAATCAAACATAATTTTACGCTTGACTAAATTACTGCAGATACTGGAACATGGTCACCAACGTGACTGACGTACTCTGGTCAGATATTGCTATTGACCCAGTGGAACCAGCCATTTGGAAAGTACGGTCTCGACAATCCGGACGTACATAAATTTAATTTAAAAAATATGAATTTTTCTTCAGCACTAGTTATGCATTTATTTCCGGTGTAATATTTTAGAGGAGACGGACTGGGTGTGGCTTCATGCGGATTTCTCCACGTGGGGAGTTCAATACGGGTGCAGCGTTGTGTCCAATTATCGCTATGAAATTATGACTTTGTTCACGAGAGAGAAGATCTTGGACTTGGCTACCCTACATTGCTTGCGTCAAGTAATGGAAGGCTATGGCTTCCCTGAGGGGCACATTAAGCTGATTGATCATAATAATTGCGGTCCGTGAAATTGACATAAGAATTTGTACGTTTGTAGTAAACAGTATCATAAATATGTACATAGTCAACATTACATATGTATATACTAACGTGTCAAAATAAAATTTCGAATAGAAATGGGTGGGTTTGTCCCCTCAATTTTTCCTTTTTATGCGTTTCGAAAATTTTGCTATCGAATAAACTTTAAAAAAATACCCAAGAATGTTTGAAATTAACTTCAAGCTAGTAAGATCAGTAGTACTCACTCATCCAATTCCTGGGTAACTTTACAACGGTTCTGTTTCATTATCAGCGAAATAACCACACATTTTACAATAGTGAGCTTGGTCGTAAAATATTCCGAGATATTTTTTAAAATAACGTCAGTTATTTCATAGGAAGGCAAGAATAAGGAAATGAAGAATGACATATTCATACAAAATCAGGTTCAGTGCAAGTTTATTTAATTCGTTAAATCCTCGTACAATGATTTGCTTTGAAGTTTATGTACATACTACTGGTCCAACCAAACAATAGTCCAGATCTGACCAATATCGCTTGCATTGCAGGGACCTTTCATCAGGTAGTTGTCGCTGAAAGTGAAAGCGCACATTTAAAATTTGTGTACTTATTAAGTACATGGTCTTGAGGAAATATTTATTTTAAATCTGTACCCAGGATTAGTGAGGCATAAATCAGTCCAACGACTCTTCAGCATTGCTGTCGAGTTTAGTATTTGACTCGGTGAGAATAATTCTAAAGTTGAATTTTGCAAGAGGGCGTCCCAATTCTCGTTCGTTGCGAAGCAATCTGGACATGGTTTGTAGGTGGAGAAACTGTTCCAAAATTGTCCTCCCAGCGGAGAAACGTTAATACTTGAGTCTACAATTCGAACACATTAGATCGACTTTTGTAAGCTAATTGCAAGTAAAATTAGGTGTCCTTGGTTAACTCGTACCGTCGTAAACGTACGCACTCCATCTTTGGTCTGGTAACCCTTGGTCATTTTGAGCAATGGATGCATAGATGTTGTACGGACCTGGATCCTCGATATATTCCGTTGTGGTGATTACCTACATACATAGTTTATGCATATCTTATTTATATACTTTAATTAAATACGGAATTTCTGGAAATAAATTTCTGAAAATTTATCTGAACGACTTTCTCCATTATGTACACTTAAATACTTTCACTCTGTGTATAAATATATGCTCACCTTATTGTCAAATTTGCTGATAAAAGTCACCCTATCAAACTCAATGCGAGGTTGTGGTGCAGGAGTAGCAATGCTGCATAAAGCAGCAAAAATGACAGCAATTACGGAAATAATCATTTTATACAATATGTGTTGGGATTAAATTTAGTTTCCACTATGATTTGTACGAGTATCTATATTTATGACGGTGCGATTGATTATATAGCAAAAATTTATCTCAATCACTTCAATTTAAACATGGAAAACTAATTGCCTGTCAATATACAATGATTTGATGACGCAAACTTTCATTACGTATGTTTCGTGCTTTACGTCGCAAGTATTAAAGTTAGTTTATCAATGTTAGTTATCATTAATGCCATCATCATCGGGATTGGCCCAAGGGTACTCTCACGTTCAGCAATAATCAAGTGTGTACGAATCGAAGCACATTCTTTTGATTAGATTCGTATAAATATGTACATAGATGATGTATGACGGGATGAGTTGAATGGTTATTTATATGAACGGGTATTTTGTTCTAAGTGGTTGCTAAATTACTTATCAGGTGAAACTCAAATGACCACTAAATGGTATGTAATCTAGTGTTCTGTTGATTTAGTCCGAGTCAAGGGCAGAGTCAAAATTTTGTACAGTCTGTAATTATAAAATTCAGCTTTTTTCAACCAATTTCTAGGAGCATAGTGGGTCACACTGGTCTCGCAAAAAATCTTAAAATTCTTTTCATATTTATAAATCTGACGTAGGTTGGTATTTTTCTAAATATGACCCATTTCCTTTTACCACCTTCTTAATATTCTGTACCATCGACCCTACCCGACCTTTATGACCCCACCGGTCAACTACTGGACTGATTTTGTTCATATTCGAACTTACCTTCGAATTTGCTTCTTACTACATTTGTACCAAATTTCAAGTCGATGGGATGAGCTTAACGAAAGCTATCGCAAGACAGAATCCTCGAAAAATCCTTGTCTACTACATTCAATTGTTCATGAGCTTATTTAAATGGCTGAATTTTTGTTAAATTTGAACCATTTTGTCCTGAAATAAATGCTGTAAATAGAGAACCTGATATAAACTAAATAAAATAAAGTCAAGTAGCCCAGTGAAATATTCGAAACAGCAAATTTTAATTTATATTCTCGGTTGAAGAGTACCAAACGGATAACATATATAGGTATTATATATAGCTATTTATTAATAGATTAAGTGAGTAATGTCATCAGTTCGCTCTAATGTTGAAGAAAAGTTGAATGTGGATTTCCATGAAAAGCGTCAGCCTTCAAATGTATTAAATGTTGATTAGGTTGGAAATTGCATAGTTCCAAATGAGGGCAGGATTCTTCCAAGAATTTGAGATCTGATACCTAAAGTAAAATGTGGAGTTAAAATAGGAATACATTTATATAAACACTTATAGACTTATTACAGACTAATTGTGGCAAATTACTCACGTTATTTTCCACCGTAATATGGAGATATTTCAAGTCTTTCATTTTCCCCACGACCTGACGAAGCATATCATCACTTATAACATCGATACTGCCTCGGGATTGGATGAGATCGCCTTGCCTTGTCGAACTACCATGAATCGTTAGCTCACGGAGCTCTAAAAAAATATTTATAAATTTAGAAGAATAAGCCAACAAAGTTTAACTCAAGATGAAACATTATGTATGCACTTCCCAAGTTCATAAACTTATAGTACTTGTAAAATTTGACAAGGAAGTAAATGTCGGGTTAGTTGTTTCGTTGCTAATTTCTTGACTCAATGTCTCCTTCTCTGCATCAAAACCTTCGAGTATCTTTTCCAGGCTGAGACCATTAATTGCTGATTGGTTGGCTAATTCAGGTGGAGGATATCCACAAATATATAGAGCTATCAAATCTGAACACGTCTCTCCAACCTTGTCCAGCCAGAAAGAGCCCTGATATCCGAGACAGAGATGTTTCACATTTTGTAGTAAAGATCCCAACCTGTCGAAATGATATCGAGTTAAGCAAGCAGGCAGCTCCAACGAGGTGAGAGATTTGAGAGGAGATGTCGAGATAAATGAATCTAGATTCACGGGATGTACATGTCCATTGTTATGAAGTAAAACTAGCGTTTGTAAGGACGGAAACTGTAACGCGAAATCTATGTGGGCACACTGTTTAGAATAAATAAAGTACTTATTTAATAATAATTTACTTTAAAAATTAAAAACTATTATTATCAACCTTTGACAATCCGAGTGTGAGGCAGGTCACTTTTTCCATACAGGTGGGGAATATTTGTGGAGGTGGGGTCGACTTGGGGACAAACAAGGCGAAATTTGGAATACTTAATTTTTCGAGTGTTAACGATTGAGCATCTAAAAATGGGCGAAACTTGGATGTTATATTATTTAAGTCCAACGACAAGAACTCCGCTTCGAATTTCATCAATTTTAAGGAATTCGGCAGCAAGTTCAGAGTTTCACTGGACAAATGGCTGAATTTGAGGTTGGTCAAGTTAACCTTGAATGCTTGTTTGCTGGAAAAATAACCAAAAATAAAATTGATTCAATCACAATATATTATTACAAGTGAAAAAAGTATGAGTTACTTTTGTGGATCTTGAAGATTACAGAAGAAAGTTTTCGCATACGATGAAAATTTAGACCCTTCATCACCACTTATTAGAATTGTTATATCGCTCAATTTTGGACAGATTTGAGCTATTCCCCAAATAAAGTACGGGACAAAAGTGCGACCACACGGTGTGTAAGAAATCGTCAACTTTTCAATGTTACAGGATGGTGGGGACGGAGACTCTAGTTCATCCTTGGTAAATAAACTGTTTCGTTCCCAACCTTGGGGAATATTGATGAGTTGCATTTCGACCAGATTAGGACATTGTTCCAGAACAAGGGTTCGTAACGTGGCGGAGTCCAAAATATTGTTGTCCTGAAATAATAAAAATATGTAATTATAAATTAATAAAACGATTTTACTTAATTGCATTGATATTAAAAATTTGCTTCGCTAACCCCACCCTTGTCAGGATTATATTCAATCTTCAAAACTTTAACCATCGTCCCATACTTGTTGAAAAAATCTTGCACAAAGAAATGATTCAGAGATAGGTTTGTGAAGGAAAAGTTTGTAAACGAGAGGACAGTCGGGTGTAAGAATGAGTAGCCGTAACGGTTAAAGGTCAGCACATCTTGGCCGTGGGTGTGCCTCTCGTCGTCTTCGTCATCATCTTGACTAGAATTAGATCCTGTTGCTCCGAAATTGACGGGAACCTGGTCAATCTTATCTTTTAGAAAGTGCCGACTCAAATCCCACCATTTTCTGCACACTCTTCGCACATGGGTAAGCTCGCGGCCGGACAAGTATTGGAAAATATTGTCCAAAATCTAAATGGATAAGATTGAAATAAGATGAGGAATAGCAGTAAAACAATATTAACGTTTAAAAAGTATTGTTTTCTTATTCTTACGATGTCAACTTCTAAAGGACTAGTCGCCATTATGAAGGGCGTGGGTGACTCCATGGTGGGGGAGTTATATACGCAATTAAGAATTATGCCAATTAAACTAACGATAATAATAAATACTTTTAATTTGAAATTAACGTAAATCGTTTACGTCAAATGAATCAATGTTATTTATAACGTTGTTGTTGTGTGTTGTTGTGAATGTTGTGATAAAACATGTGTAGTAAAGTTCCCACCGCTGGGCAGAGTGATACACAAAAAAAAGTGCATAATGGCATTATGTATGTATGCCGTATGCATTTTCAACATTATTTCCATGAAGTTAAGATTAAATGGAAGTTTAAACAAATTAACAAAAAAAAATACACAAAAAATTAAATTCAAAAATTTTGAATTTAAAATTTTGTGTCTCAACCTTCTCTTCTTCTTCCATGCACTCAAATGGCTATTTTGAAACCTGTTCATCTCCGGATATTTATTTTTTTTAATGAAGATTTTATTGCATCTAACAATCGATAATGTTAGGTTTGCAAAGTTAGGATGTTAGCATACTTTTTTCTTCCATGCTAATTCTTATCCGAGTTGATCATATGCAGAACTATATATCCAGATGTATTAAGTAGTTTCAAAGATTTCGTATGCGATTCAAGTCCATACATTACACAATAAGAAAAGTAAAAATAAAATAATCATCTGACACGTTAGTTCCGTTTTTTAAAATTCATTTGATGTTGATGAACTCGGGTGACAAATATGCTACAGATTTATGTGCTCTCAAGAAAACCAGTTTTTCCAAAGCAGCCAAACAAAAGTCACACATAACCTAAGTACCTCCAGCCAGTCTACCGTATGGAATGTCAAAATCATCTTTTTCTCAGTCAACAACCTAATAAATAGTTACAACAATGTCGTATTTGCATCTATTTTTCCTTTTAACGACAGTCCCGACAATTTTGTCCCACCCATCGCCATGCCGTCTTCACCACCCACGCTCATCTACCCCACTTATCCGCGTGTTAGACGACACTCAAACAATTCTGGGGAAGAATGCATACGCTTCGTACGATCTCATCTCGCAACCACCCCCAATGATTGAGTGCTCCTCCCCAATGGGAAAAGTTTCTTGGACTTACGAGGGGAGAGGGGCATCCTCCGGGGTTAAATTAATATCAACCACGTGGTCAAATAAAAAATTAAAGACAATTTGCTACTCGTCCACAATCGTGTTTATCAATGTGACAGATCAATTAGTGGGAAGGTGGAGTTGTGGCGTGAATAATTTAGAAAGTGAAAATAGTTTCGTATTATTTGTGCCACGTGAGTAATATGTAGTTGCAAAATTGTAATGGGGATATAATTTCATGTCTTTTTATTTTATATTTTTATGTGTAGAACCCATCACATTTTATCCCCTTGAAGGAGAATTGATTAAAATTACGGTAGCATCAACATCAGAAAGTGTTACAATTCCATGCATTTCGAAGAAGAGATGGGCCAGTGGGTTGAAGGTCTTCGTAAAAAATGTGAGATCAGCTAATTCAGCAAAGGGAAATTAATTATGGCCATCTAATTATGACAATGCATAGGAAACTGACGATGAGGAATTACTAAATAATCTCCATTACGACCCATTTAGTGGATATCGTTTTTCTCTCTGGAAAGAATTGTTTCATGGAAATAAAGCAACATTTGTGTGCAGATTTGGAGAAAATGTACAAAATGAGACACTCGTAACAGTCGAAGTTAAATTAAGAGACGGTAATCATAAAAATTAACATTGTATTAAAGCATATTTACATAGAAATAATGTCTATTTTATAGACGAACTAATCGCCCCCATTCCCACGCCAACTCCAATATACTCGTTTTCTCCCTATTTTTCCTGGACGAGTAAATCACGACCAGAAATCAGTCTACAAACTTCATCCCCTGTAAATACTTTAGAGTGGCAACAACTTTATATCAAAGGAGATTACGAACAGGAAGGAAATTCATCCGGATCAATTTTCCATCTTGGTTCGTTCCAAGTATTAAGTGGGGATGAAGGCAAAGTAGAATTGAAAACGGATTCCAGTCACGAATGGAATTGGGTAGTTCTGGAGAAAGAAAAGGAACCGTTTGTCGGATTGTCGTACGACGTTCATGGAAATCAACATGTTTTTACTTGCGTTTCAGGAACTAATTCAATTCCAAATATTACTTTTAAATCTTTGACAAACGATGAGGTAATTTTTTCATTATTTTTCATTTTTCAATAAATAAATTTCATAATGTTTTAACGCCGATTTTTATTTTCAGTCTGGTGAAAATTATAGTTTGACTCCGTGCCCTACTCATCCGTTATCGCTGGGTTGTATAATGTTAACTAGCACGTTACCATTTGGTAAAGTCAGTTGTGAAGGGGATGGAATTAGTGAAGTTATTCGATATCCGCTATCAATCCCGTTTTCACGTCCATATTTTATTGAGCGGGGTGCTTCCATTGAATTGATGACGGTTGATCATGCAAATCGTACTATTCCATGTGCATCAAATAATAAGGACTCGATCGTTTATCTGTTTAAAAGTGACGAAGAAAATAATTGGAGTCTGATTTATGACGGATTTAATAATTTGGAGGAGGGTTGGATGTTCTATCCTCACGTGGGATTTGTTATGGATACGGGAAATTTAGAATGGGATAATTTTCATGGAAATTATCTCTGCACGAGTAGCATGGATTTGGAGGATTATAGTGACGCCGTTACAGTTGAAGGTAATTTGTGGGTTATCTATCAGTTGGATTTTAAGTTATTACGTAATTAATCAATTGATTTTAACATTTTAGCGAAAAATTACACCTATTTACCACAACAATCCCAAATAACTGTCTCGCTTCCGTACTTATTAAAATGGGCGTGGTCATCAGAGACTGATGCGATAACCGTAAATGAAGAACAATTAACCAATTTCATCAACATAACGACAAATATAAACTGGATGACCGCGGAATTAATTTTAACTGAAGAAATGTTTACTGAAAATGAGTTAAACGTTACGTTAAGCCGGGGCGGTGGTATAATTCATGAATGGAGAATTACCTTGGTCACTATAGAAGAAAAATTAGGGTTAACTGTAACCACTGGAGGAAGTGATTCTTGGATTGAAATAATTTGTAGAGGATCCAAAACCGAGGTGGAGAGGGACACTGCAAAATTAACTTATTATACTTGCATAAATAACGATACTTGCAATATCATGGAAAATTGTGAGCGAAAGGTATGCAAACAATTTGTATTATAGTCAATTTTGCTACGATAAAATAAATAATTAACTAATTTTAAACTAGGATTGTTTAGAAGTAACTAATCAAGAGAGTTCTTCATGTCTCGTAAAAAATGGTTGTCTACGTCGTTTCTTGAAGTCATTCCCATTAAATGGTTATCTAAATGTGGTTTGTTCTTTTAATGGAATCACGGAAAAGAGATCCATCTTTGATGTCTTTTGTGAGTTAAATGTAAAGTTTGTACATAATTTAGTTAATTAATTGAAAATGACTAAATATTAAATAATTTACAGTCCGTGAGGATATGGAAACGAATCATTTATCGTTTCTCTCAGCTAACGCAGCAAGTTCGGAGTCAAACCCGTCGAAAGAAATTGTTGATCTCGGATCTAATTTAGAATTTGATATTGGTGATAGCGTAGTATTTTCATGTGGAGCTAGTCCTGCACATTCTTATCATGGGATAAGATGGGGTTGGGAAAATTTGCAAGAGCACATTAATATCCAGTCGGACGGTCAGTTTAAATTTCTACTTGGAGAATTTAAAAATAATTTTACTAATTATGAAAATGCATCTTAATATGCAGATCCGTATGACCCACAATGGAAATACACTTCCCCTACACAACTCCTCTCGACTTTTAATTTCCATATTAAAAATTTTGATATAAAACGAATTTGGTGTTTTATACCGCAAGAAAACGGATGGAAAAATTTGTCACAAATTATTTTTGTTCGTGGAGAGGTGAGTTTTAACAAATATTTAGCTATGAATTAAATACTTTAACCATGCCGTATCAATTTTTTAGATATCTGAAACCTGCCATGAAACAGAACCATCGCTTCGCTTATTGAATATTTATCCGTCTCCGTCGCAACTAAATTTCAGCTTAACTTCTGTACGATTAGATAAAACAGGTCAATTCATAGCACCGAAGGGATTACTACAATTTTCCGTCATTGCCACAGCAACGGAGCCAATTGAATGGCATTTTACTGGGGTTGATGGACCCTCGTTAACCCCCTCCATTCAAAATGATCGTTTAATCAGTAATTTTTATGATCCTTCTACATATTGTCACATTTCTAAATTGTTGATAAATTTAAGGCACAAAAATTCAAGTCAAGATACTGGATGCTTTATTGCAAGAATTGGTAGTGCCGAAAAAAATTTAAAATTTTGTTTATTTGTTCCAAATGATGAAAGATATTTTATAAGTAATGATACTGAAATTAATGTTAATTTATGCGAGGATTTAAAATTACCGTGTGGCGTTAGTGATCCTAATATTGAGGTTACCTTGGTTAGAGATAATTATACCGACATTAATTCAACATACGATCCAATCCATGGTTTCACTATTTCAAATGACCTGAATAATCTTGGAAAATGGAAATGTCTCGCAGGAAAGGAAGAATTGGTTGTAAACGTTGTCCAAAAAAGTAAGTTAAGAAATTATGTTTATTTTTTAAAAATAATTTGGTAAATTTTACGATAATTATTTCAGAACCCCCTTCCGCTCTATTGGAGCACAAATTACTCGGAAATGTTCACATTTTTACGTGCAAATCAGGAAGTGATACCAAACCAAATCTTACTCTAAGCGAAGGATTATCATTTCAAAATAAAGATTGTGTTGGGAAGGGATGTTCAATAATTACGACAAATGTTGCTAATGGAACCGTCATTTGTTATGGAGATGATGTTATGGAAACTATGGAATTTCGTCAGGAATCTGATGGAGGTTATATACAATTTTGATTATTTTGGAAATTAATATAAAATTACTTTATGCCAATTTTATTATTTTAGGAAGCCTGGAAAAGAATGGAATTTGGTATGATTCAGAAATCAATGGATTTAAATGTCGAATAAAAAATTCATCAGAGGAAATGAATGCCGTAACTTGTCGGAGGCCTAACGAATGTGCAATTATGATGGAGAAACTAAAATTACGAGGGGTTAGTTTTTACATTATGGAACAGATTTTGATAAAATTGAGTGACAAACATTGTTTTAGATAAAGACGAATCAAGTTAAGAAATCTTGTGGCGTTGAATGCACTCAACTAGAGATGCAGAACAAAAATTGGTTCACAATCTTTATTCAGTGCAACGAATTATTTATGCAGTTTTTCCATCATAAAGGAATCATTCAAGGTATTTTTTTACCACTTTCAAAGCAATTAAAGAATAGTAACAAAAAGTGCATATGTATTTCGTGTTCCGTAGCGGGTTCAATAGAAACGATGAAATCCATGAAAAAAATTAATTTGGACGTAACAAGTTTCCAAAAGCGCAATGAAATAACAATCTCTGCGAAATTACGCTGTTTTGCTAATCGTTACTTCTATTCGAGAGGAATCGTTTGGGGTTTAGAGAAGAAAGATGGAACAATGGAATTCAAATGTGAGCGTAATTTTTACATAATAATTTTCCATGGAATTTTATTTCGTTTTGTCTCTTTTTTCAGTACCAAGTGAAATGGAACTCCAATCTCAAAACTTGATAATGAGTGAATTGCAATTAGAAGAATTGGACTTGACTAAAATTTGGTGTTTTGTACCAATTCTAAATTCACAAAAGTGGGCAAATTCATCAATAGAGTTACCTATTACTCAAATCATTCATAATTTTTGGTAGATATTGATAAGTAATAATTACAAAAAATTTTAATAAAATAATTATTGCCTTCTAACCATGTTTAATTGACATTCAATAAATATTTCATAACAATGACTGTGTTATTCAACCATGATTGCATAATGTTTAACGTCATTAAATGTGACTAATATTCAATGGAAAATGATTCAAGGCTGCATGATTATACAAAGCGTCTCAATTTAATTAATCATTCTTCTCTGGAACAACATTTATCTTATTTAATGTAGGAATACATTTGATTACAGCTTTTAATACTGATGTCGTGCGGATGCGATTTAATTAAAATGATTGTAATTATGGAAATATGTAGATATTTCTCAATCCAAACTATATTTTCCCTTCACTATTTCCTCTTCTTCGCCCGCACCACACCCAAATATAGGACGAAATATAAAGTGATAAACATTGGCCAAAATCCCGACCGTCCAACTCGCCATGACATACACACCTCTCGGAGGACGCCGCTGGGTCAACCGCCCAACCACCATCGCCCCAATTATGGGACCACGTCACGTCACGTCAAAAATAATCCTCCCCACCCAATGGCGAAGGGATGAAAGTGGTAAATAACGTGGCACCGACTTCAGCCATTCTTGATAATCCTCTCTTAATCCAAAGTCAGTCGCTCCACGCTGTATTAAATTCATGTAACGGGCGGAAGGGTAAAATTTGCGACTTTTGGTAAGGTTCGAACAATGCATGAGAGTCGAGGCTCGTATAACTTCGCCCTGATAAGTCTCCACCTGAATCTCTCTGCTGGCATAACCAACTCCATCGTGTCCACCGCCTCCTTCGGTACGCCGGATGCGTTGGTAGTCCCTCCTGGTTATTTCGTGAACCACGCCATGGACGACGGGCGATTTAAGAGTTGAGAATGAAAACTTGTATAGTCATGGTGAGTCATATCAACACTTTCGGCGAGTGTACATACGTCATTGTACGTTTGTATCCAGTGTCATTCACGGTCATCATGCTTAGATTTGCTAATGTAACTGGTACAGTTTTTTTGTCATGCAGTGACAAAAATCGGCGAAATACGGTATTATGCATGTGTACGTACACATATACTCCATCGTATACTAAATATGCATATGTAAATACCACGCAAATGTATGCGTACGCATACATATATACATATCTAAATAAGTGTATCTGTATGTATGCAAGATTGACTAATTGATGTAAAACTTGCATAGTTTTTGTGTAGATTTAAATTATGCATATTTACCTACGTATGTACATACGTGTTATTCCATACATTTCAGTACAAAATAAATAAGACTTTTGACAAAATCGATTCACTCTCAATTTTATAGTAAATCCAAAAATTTTGAACTAATCGCCAAATTTCTTGAATTACTCGTACATTTAACCGACTAAATACGGTAGTTTATACTTACTTCAAGATGTGGAGATACAATTCATCTCTTGTGAGTATGTAAGCTATCTAACTAATATAAAAATTGCACACATATGTACTGATACTCTCTCTCCTGAAATAATATACGTACATACATTAGCTATTAGTTTTTAGTATTTCTGGAATTGTCTCACGACGAGTGGTCAATGTTGTCCCGAAATTTTGAGCACTCAAAATATGAGTTCTCCAGTATTAACTAATAATATTTACATACATTTTAGTCGAATAAATATTGATTAGATAAAAAAATGAAAAAATCTTGAAAAAATTGATTAGATATTTAACATTAAATGTAAAATTTGCCCACTGCATAGAATGGTACATTCATAAATTCAATTATAAGATCAAATCGGCGTTTCAACTGATAATACACGAATTTACTTAGTTATGAAATTTCGATTAGTTCACCTAATGTTAATGCATATGTATATGTGGTTTCTTTGTGTGCAGAGTGGTGAGTTATTGACAGAAATGTTTTTATGAAAGTGACAACAAGGGAAATTTTCCAATTAAGATAACACAGATTAGAATCGACATAGGTCAGACGATCGAGTTGATCACAAGCCAAATTTATCTAAGGAGGAAAAGTGAATATAAATGTTTTTTTTATAAAGCCTTCTCACAGTGTTCAAAGAGGCCAATTTATTGGAGGTAATTCCCCGAGCACTTTTCTCTTAATATTTTTGCATTTTCTTTGCTCTGGGGGGTCAAAGACGTGCCCATAAAAAATTTGACGAGCCACACCCACTTTGGGTGTGGTTTTTTCCTAGTGGGTTTATGGTCAATCGCCCAGTCCAAAATTGTGTGCTAAGCGATTCTGCACCTGCTAAAAAAATTTCATCAAAATCGGTGCATAAACAAAAAAGTTATTGCAGGTAAAAGTTTGGCGAAAGGCAAAACACCCCTACTTTAGGGGCGTGGTTCTCCGAAGAGTGCAAACTTCAAAGGCTGAAAATAGTTGTAAATGATGGCCCCCCTTGGTATGTACATATTCTGAAAAAATGGAGTTCTGAAATTTGCACATTTCCATGAAACATGGCCGGGAACATTGAAAAAATTCATGTCGAAATTGTCCAAAAGAGGCGAAACTCAACATGACGTAGAGTAGTAAAAATCGATATCTAGCTTCAGCTAGGGCTAATAAGTGCGTCGCAAGTGAAATTGACCCATGTCGTAAGGGCATGGCGTCGACTTGTCGAAATTTCGACATGATCCTTTAAAGCTCAAATTTAAAACTAATACTCCCCCACCATTCAAAATACATATTCTTGCACTTTTGGCAATGTCGACAGCCCATTCCGCCGAATATCGACCCTAAAATGTCTAAATTTCAAAATCGACATACAGCCTTCAAATTTTACATTTGTGCTCCACAACATCAATGAACAAAAAAGTTCACGATGCCCCATCTCATATGGTGGGAGTAAGAATAAAACAGTTTTGACTCGCATTGGAAAAAGTAAACAAACTTTGAACTCAAATATCCCGAAATGGGGCAAAATTAAATAGTTATACGAAAATTAATTTTATTCTCGGGTCTATTTTTTGGTTAGGAATGGTGGATGATGGACTTGTTGACGACAAACCATTCTGCTGTGTAGGGTGACCATATTTGTCCTGACTAAAACCGTGACATTTTTCGGCGAAAAAATTTGCTATAATATCTTGTGCTTGGCGAAAAATTTTTCAATAATTTCCAGTGTTTGGCGAAAAATTTGCCATGATATTAGTTCTTGGCGATTCCGATATCACCGAATTTTGAGCCAGGAAAGAAATGAAAAGAAATTAAGTAAAAATTTCATGCACGTTACTGATATTTATGTGCTAAAATCGATTTTTCATCAATGTTTGGTGAAAAAATGAGATAATTTAATTTTTTTCCTAAGATTTTAAAAACTTTATCAAACACTTTATCAAAACCGGGACATTTTCGGGACGCCGGGACAGGTTTTGAAAAGCGAGACATGTCCCGGCTAAACCAGGACGTATGGTCACCCTACGGCTGCGCCGTGTCAACGTGGAACAGCGTCCTGTCAACTTGGAACAGCGCCGTGTCAACATGGAACAGCGTCGTGTCAACTCGGAATACCGCCGTGTCAACATCGCCGTATCAACATCGGAACGGCGCCGTGTCAACCTGGAACAGCGCCGTGTCAAAATGGAACAGCGTCATGTTAACTCGGAACAGCGCCGTGTCAACTCGGAACAACGCCGTGTCAACTCGGAACACCGCCGTGTCAACATCGCGGTTTCAACTTGGAACAGCGCCGTGTCAACATCGGATAGCGCCGTGTCAACTCGGAACAGCGCCGTGTCAACTCGGAACAGCGCCGTGTCAACAAAGAACAGCGCCGTGTCAACAAAGAACAGCGCCGTGTCAACAAAGAACAGCGCCGGGTCAACCTGGAACAGCACCGTGTCAACTAGACGAAGTCAACATGGTCTCAAATCAGCCTAACCGATAGCAAAATTTCAATGGGCGTCAAAGGGCGAAGAGCCCAATCCTGTAAGGATTCCTTGTGGGAGGACCGGGAAGGAGCCCCAGACCTGTAAAATAAACCCCGGTTCCGTTTGTACCCCATGGAGGAGCAGGCAGGTCTGAGCCATGGTCCCGGGCACATAAACATCAGGGCCGGAAAGCGTGTAGATTTTGCGACTGACAGAAGCAAATTACATCTAGAAGTCAGCAATCCACAGGGGTGGCTCCCCTTCAAGGACACTGTGAGAGCTTGTTACACGTCGTAACTTGTTAAGCCCTTGTCTCGATTAGTGTTGTGGATTTTTACGAAAATGGAAGAAGAACGAAGAGTTGAAGAAAGTAGCGGGTTAGCACAGCCTTTGGTAGAGGTAGAGGTGATTCCTATGGATAGCGCCGGTGGCCATTCTTCTGCCCAGAGATGTGATTCAACAGCAACGGGTAATATACAGAAGTCAGCACTTGTGGAAATCTTTAAGTCATCAGATGAGCTTGATTTATGCTGCAAGGCCGTAAAAAAACTGATGGGCCCATTAATGAAACAAAATCTGTCCCTTGACGAAGAAAGCACGTTTCGAGCTGCAGTTAGTAAAGAAAGGTCGACATTTAAAAGTCTCTGGAAGAAATCGTACAGAATTGCAGACCGATTTAGTGAAAATAACGAGGCGTACCTTACTTCAAGTTTTAAACTTCCAACCAATCTTATAGCTGCTCCAGTAAAAGCTTCAGTTGGGCGACCAACAGTTGCATATTCTGCATTGGGTGACCACCAGAAACGAACCAAAGAGAAAGAACTCTCTAAGCTTCTCGACGGCGAGCCTAGAGAAAAAATATTGAAGTCTGTGACACGTGCTCTAAACGGAGATCCAGCAGATGAAGATTTACGTGAAGTAATGAAAGAGCTTGTAAGAAGTCCGAGTCGTCCAGCGAAGATACGACAACAACTAAATGCTGTTATCCCCACGCAAATGTCGGTTGAGGAAGCCGTTGCTTTGATGATAGATTGCCGTATGACTGTCAGCACTTACAAAGCGTTAAAGCGATCGGCTGAGTTGCATGGATTTCCATTATATCCACCTTATTACAAAGTGGAAAAGTACATGAAAGAATTTTGTAGACCAACTAGACTGTTAGAGTTGTCTGACACTTTTGCCTCAATTTCATTATAAACCCTTCTTGACCACACTGTGGATCGAATTTTGAAGCTGCAAGAAGAGCCAGTTGTGCGGTTTGCAGAGCAATTGAAAACTTCCACACTGGAATTGCAATTAGTTGCTTCATGGGGATTCGACGGCAGTACTGGTCAATCTCAGTATAAGCAAAAACTAAATACTGATGCAAATGTCTCTGATTCTGGTTTATTTGTAACGACCTTGATCCCTCTCCAGTTGCAAACTGTTAAAAAGCAAATAGTTTGGAGAAATCAAGCCCCGCAGTCAGTGCGATTTTGTAGACCTCTTAGAATCCAATTCCTTAAAGAATCTGAGGGCAGCATTCGTTCTGAGCGAGAGTGGGTTGATTCCCAAATAAGAACTTTGCAACACCACTCAATCATACAAACTGGTATATCAGTATCGGTTGCATACTCCCTTAACCTTACAGTGATTGATGGTAAGGTGCTAAGCATTTTGTCAGGAGCATCATCTCATCAAGTTTGTCCAATTTGTGGTGCCACCCCAACGGAATTTAATAAATTAAACTGTGAATTCCAACCCATTTCTGATAGCAATCAACATGACGTGTCAACGGAGGAGAGAAAAACCCAATCTTTCAAAGCAGAAAGCGGATGATCCAGCAGGAATTGTGGAAAAAGCTGTCTCTAAGGGTTGACTTCCCTAAACCTGGAGGTGCAGGTACTTCGAATGATAGAAACACGGCTAGAAGAGCCTTCAGCATTGAGAACCAAGTGGTGTTTGCTGAGATACTTGGACTAGAGCTGTGGCTAGTGCAAGATTTACACGTAATTTTATGCGTGATTTCTTCATCTCTACCAATTGATTCGAAGAAATTTGGTGAATTCTGCCAATTACTTGCTACACGATACGTGGAGACCTACAAGTGGTTTTACATGCCAGCAACCCTTCATAAAATTTTAATCCACGGAGAAGAAATTATTTTCCGATCTGCCCTACCAATGGGAATGCTCAGCGAACAAGCTGGTGAGTCCAGAAATAAATTGTACCGCCAAGATCGGGAGTTCCATGCTCGAAAGACAAGTAGAAAAGATAACTTGTTAGATGTCTTCAATCGAGCCATGGACTCCAGCGATCCAATAATTTCTCATATTTCCATTGGTCAAAGACATGCAAAATGTAGGCAGCTGCCACTTCCGTCCGCAGCAATAGCTCTTCTTCAGGCACCAGAAGAGCCGGACACGTCTGATCGCCAACTATTTGCAGAAGATGACGCAGATCCTGAAGAAGAATTCTCTACCGAAATTGACAATATCGAACTTGAGGCTGAAGAAATTGACGTCGACTTTGAGTGACATTCTTCACTCACTTCTTGTTCTTGGTCAAATGAAGACTAGTGGGCCGATGACCACTTTAAAAACCGGGACCTTCGGGTCGGACATTGCAGCTGTGTCCCTGATGATGACCAGAGCAGGTCGAAACCCGAAAGAACTATACAAAATTCCAAAACTCATGTCCACCAAATGTCAATATAACGCAATCTTTACATATTATTTGGACATCAGGATTACAACAACATAGATCGTTAACATGTGTCGACAAAATTTTTGAAGGTATTGTGTGATGTTGTGGAGCACAAATGTAAAATTTGAAGGCTGTATGTCGATTTTGAAATTTAGACATTTTAGGGTCGATATTCGGCGGAATGGGCTGTCGACATTGCCAAAAGTGCAAGAATATGTATTTTGAATGGTGGGGGAGTATTAGTTTTAAATTTGAGCTTTAAAGGATCATGTCGAAATTTCGACAAGTCGACGCCATGCCCTTACGACATGGGTCAATTTCACTTGCGACGCACTTATTAGCCCTAGCTGAAGCTAGATATCGATTTTTACTACTCTACGTCATGTTGAGTTTCGCCTCTTTTGGACAATTTCGACATGAATTTTTTCAATGTTCCCGGCCATGTTTCATGGAAATGTGCAAATTTCAGAACTCCATTTTTTCAGAATATGTACATACCAAGGGGGGCCATCATTTACAACTATTTTCAGCCTTTGAAGTTTGCACTCTTCGGAGAACCACGCCCCTAAAGTAGGGGTGTTTTGCCTTTCGCCAAACTTTTACCTGCAATAACTTTTTTGTTTATGCACCGATTTTGATGAAATTTTTTTAGCAGGTGCAGAATCGCTTAGCACACAATTTTGGACTGGGCGATTGACCATAAACCCACTAGGAAAAAACCACACCCAAAGTGGGTGTGGCTCGTCAAATTTTTTATGGGCACGTCTTTGACCCCCCAGAGCAAAGAAAATGCAAAAATATTAAGAGAAAAGTGCTCGGGGAATTACCTCCAATAAATTGGCCTCTTTGAACACTGTGCTTCTGTCCTGGATACTAATTTATTTGCAATTCAACCAAGATGAGAAATTTAAAAAAAACACGCCTTGAGATAGTATTTTCCGTCATACTTTTCTGCATTACCTCAGTTACAAGTGGAGACGCACTTAATCTGAGCACAAACGATGGGGTTGATTGTAAGTATACTACATAATACGACCTATTTCAAATTTTAATTTTATTGCTAATTCACATTTTCCAGCAACGCTGTCAATTTTGCAAAAAGCAATATCTTCGAGTTACGAAATATTTCAAGGTAGACAGCCCAGCTATGCATTGCATAGAAATTTTGGAGACAGGGTTCGAATCTTTTTGAATGTGAATGATACAATGGACCTCCCCACAATTGAGGTTTCGCCATACTTTGAAATCAGATGTACTGTTAGCAGATAAACTGAACTATTTGGACCAACAACTATATGGTGAGCATGATTATCGCTATTCAGGGAACTAGATTTTGTCATACTTATCAATTTGTCGACGTCGTAGTCTAAATTTAAATATTAAGGATCATCAATCAAAGATCGTCTAACACAATAGCTCCCAATAAATTGGTCCATGGTCCATGGTCCATGGTCCATCACAAATGGTCCATCGAGGGACCACTTGAAAAATGGTCCATGGTCCATGGTCCATCGATGGACCATCTGAAAATTGGTCCATGGTCCATGGTCCATCGATGGACCAATTTTTTGGTGGTCCATGGTCCATGATGGACCATTTTGGTCCAGTGGACCATGGTCCATTCAATGGACTCCATTGCGAGCTATGTCTAACACACTCTTATATCTTAGCGAAGTACTGCAGTGTAGAGGTGAGTCGGGTCCAAAATTTTTACACCCCGATCCGGGTAATCTTTGAAAACTACCCGATCGGACCCGATCAGCTTAAGGGCGGGTCGGGTTACACTGGGTTGACTCGTGACCCGACCCACTTGTACTGCAGTGCTAGCTGTGTGTAATATAACAACGGACAACTTGTTTTTTTATCTTAGGGCGAGTAAATTGCATGGCTTATCGGACATGGTGGACGACTTCAACATAAAGTTTATCAACAATGAAGGATATTTTATTGCACATTTAGCCATCCAAATTCCCACATTTAATGCCGCTGGGGAGTACATGACGAACTTGACGCTTCTCCCCAAACATTCGCGAACACCGGAAATGTATTTTCTAGGAAATAGTTCTTACAACTCCTCCATTTCGTTTCTGGAATTTGGATTAGAAGTTGAGGGCCGAGCTTCTGGCTTCGAAAATATCATTATTCGAAGTGTGAATCTTTCTTTTGCCTACGAAAACTTTGATACCCAATTTTCAAATCTCACATTGCGATCCGCTTCCCGCCCGCCGGGGTCAAATTTTGAATGGTTTCGGCAAATTAATACGTTTTCTGAAGTTCCTAAATATTTCAAGTGGAATTGGGTGTTATTTCACACTACTCTCGATCTTCCAGCTGTAGCAAATGAAATTAGTCGATGTCTATTACAAAACGTTTTCAGCGTAAGAAATACGTAAATAATTCACGGAATGTCCATAAGTATATTACGTCATCAACAAAACGCCGATTGTTAGACCACCCACTCACCCCTTCTTTATTCTAATATTGTTAAGCTTAAAAGGAGTAAGATAGGTGACCCAAAACTACCAATCCACCTTTTAGATGACGTGATATGGACGTTCCCAGGGAGTTCGGATGAAAATATTAATTTTTTTCAGGAATGCACGTTGATGGAGCTATTAGTTTCAGGTTGGAATAAACATCTTTGGGCAAGTAAAATTAAGATGCTAACTAAGTTTAATTTTTTCAGCGGAATGCATGAAACTTAATATTGATGAGGAATGTTTAAGGACTGACATTCTCCACATTTACTTTCCACACCAACCAGGATCCAGCAATAAGGAATATGGTCAAAGGGTCAGGCGATCTTGTCCTGATTATACTTGCTGCACCATTCCACCAGAGCAAAATTTCCTGGTGTCAACTTCAAGCTTGAGGCCTTTGGGTATGTGGAAAATTGTACAAAAACATATCCATAGAAACTATTAAATCGATAATAGTACAACTATATGTGACCGGATTTTTTAGTGTAAATACATAAATAATTGTTTACGCAGTCCAGCAAGTTGCAGCCAACTTTGGAGATTTGTTCTTATCTGATGAAGGAATTTTTGGGCTACCATCGAAAAATATTTCATTGCGTAAAGCTCATAACCGGGTGAGGGAAGTAGCCGTTAATCCTGCGTTGAGTCTTCCAGACATTGAAGTTCAAGTTATGTGGACAGATTTTTATAGTTCCGTGTTCGGCGGATTGTTCAGAACATGGTAGGATTACATTGAATTTATTTATGTGCATACCCTAGAATTATTCCGGTGTGTAACCCCGTTAGTATTTTTTGACATTAGCGGGTGACACATTTAGAGTTTATTCAACAAACTGTTATCGCTGTGAGATTTATCGTTAGATGTGCCAATAGTTTTGTGTATGCATCACAATAACTAAATGCTTTTGAATGGGTGCGGGGATTGAGGATTGTTCTTGTTCATCAATTTGATGCTATTTAGTACAGTACTATGCGTTTATTCGACTTTTTAAATTTGCCAAAACATCCGTTTTCGAGACATAATTACACAATGTTTAAAGTGGTCAAGAGTAAAAACATGTTTAGGGCTAAACATTTTGATGAATTATAAGTATTTTTTGCCTTACATGTACGTAGCTCGAAATCTTGCCGCAAGATTGAACTCGATTCCAGATTTATATGAATAACGAATATGCTTAGCAGCATTGAAACTTTATGTGAATAACCTAAAATTATATTTCGGGTTGTTCAATAAATACTGTTCACAATGACACCCACAAATTCACCCAATATTTTTATTCATATTCATTCATATGCGTATTCAGTCGTGTCAACGGTAAAAACTACTTGTCAAACTCCTGAAATCCGATTTTTTTCAAATTTTCAATTGTCGAGTAAAATGACGCAATCTGTATGTACTTATGTATTATCAAATTCATTGTCAAATGAAAAACCTTGGCATTGCCTAAATGGTGGAAAATTCTTATTTCAGGGGATCTGAAGTGAGAGGACACCAGGATGGGAGGGAAAATATAAGCACTGAATTCTTAGATGAAAATGGCACTTTCGTAGCCGACTATTACGTCGAATTCCCAGTCATTTACCTTAGCGGGAATTATGAGTCTGACCTAACGTTGTACGCGCGTGCCAACAGCCAAATTGATCGAGGAGAGTGGAGTTTGATTGGAGCGGGTCAATATAATTGGACTGTAAAATCCGTCTGGATCAACGTTCGGGTATTCGGAAGGGCACCAATGACTGAAAAAATGTCAGTTTCAAACGTTGATTTCAGCTTAGGTATTGAACGTCTTCAGGAAAGGGAAGGTCTAAAATTTACCGCCTTGCACAATTTTATCATTACATTTGGCGGAAATTTAACGACTGATAAACATCCAACCTATTGGAGAGAAGTGATCAATCATTGCGATATTGAGGATTTCATATTCCACGATAAGGATAATGAACTAAACGTCGCGTTCCCAGAAGTTGTAGGAAAACAGTTGCTTTGGACTACGCAGTTGGTGTAAGTATAAGTATTACCAATTTTCTAAGGATTATTTGCTCTGCTTCATCAGCCCATTCTAACAAGTAAATTATTTATGACTTCACATTTGAGAACTGCAATATCTTGGACCTACTGGTCTCGCGTATGAATAAAATATACATAGCGGGTTTTAACAAAAGGAAAAATAATAATTCCATTTCATGAATACTACTTTAGGGGACTGTCTTCGAGTTGACCGAAACGACAATTGTTTCAGCGACTACGTGATCACAGTTCGACAGCCAACAACGTGGAGCACGGCAATGACGAGCGAGCCTGAGACCGAATTTACCGAAGATGAAACACCGACCATAACCACACATCTTGCAACATCAACCACTGTGGCTTCTACGACTTCTACAACAGAAGCGCCCGATATCCCGGACAACGTAGATCTTCTTCTGAACCAAACCCAAATTTTATTAGATCAAGCTCAATTTCTTATAAAGATAGTACAGGCACGAATTTGATGCTGCATTTGAAATCTGAGATAAATATTGCAATCATTTGTTAGAGACGTTCGAAAGTGATTGCGTGGGCATATAGATTGACACATAGACATGGAACTCACACCATCTGTTAGGAAATGATAAAGAAAATCAGCTAAATCCTTAATAATAGCGCTTTAAATTCTAACTTTCCCTATATAAGTAGATCAGATTTGCATACATAAATATAGCCTTAGAGACTGAATACAAGTACTTGCTTAATATCTGCATAAGTACATATGTATGTAAGTACGCTTTACATTTACAACACAATTGACGTCGAAATTTCATACTGTATGTTTGGATTTAAACAGAAAATAAACAAATTTAATTCCAATAACCAAGGTTTTTGAAAAGATTGATTTGATATTTACAAATTTCATTACAGATAAGTACACAATTTGACAACTGCGTAATTTGCAAAGTTTAAATATACAAAATCAAACCAACGTTTCATCTGATAGTATTGGTAGTACAATAATTTAATTGCGCGACTTTGATCGCTGTGGGTATCTTAACTATCTTTTTTTATATGCAAGAGTGCTCAGTTATTGTGAGTTATTATGAGCGAGCAATGCTCTTATGAAAATGATTAAATACATACGGGAAATTTTCCAATTAAGATAACGCAGATTAGAAATCCTATGTACCTATATTCAACATGGGCCGGATGATTGAATTGATCACAAACCAAATTTATCTAAGGAGGAAAAGTGAATATAAATGTTGTTTATAAAGCCTCCTGTCTGGAATAATAATGTATTTGTCCAAATCAGCCATTCAATTCAAATAAGATGACAAATTTTAAGACAAAACTGCTTGTGATGGTATTTGCCGTCATACTTTTCTGTAGTATCTCAAGTGTAGACGCACTTATTCATGGGGTTGATTGTAAGTAAACTACATACATAATACGATCTATTTCAAACTTGAATTTACTTCGAATTACCATTTTTCAGCAACGCTGTCACGGCTGCAAAGAGCAATATCTTCGAGTTACGAAAAATTTCAGGCTGGAGAGTCCAACTATGATTTCGATAGAAATTTTGGAGACGGGGTTCGAATCTTGTTGGATGCGAATGACACAATTGACCTCCCCACAATTGGGATTTCACCATACTTTAAAATCAGTTGCACAGTTAGCAGATTAACAGAGCTATTTGGACCTACAACTATATGGTGAGCTTGATTATCGGTATTCATGGAACTAGGTTTTGTTATATTGGTACTTCAGTTTGTCATGGTTCAAATTGTAGTTTTAAAGATCATAGATCAAAGATCCTCTATCACACTCTTCCATCTTAAGTAATGCTGCGTAGACGTGAGTCGGGTCAAAAATTTTGAAAGCCCGACCGGCCAAAAATCTTAATCCAACCCGCCTGGTTCACCTTGATCGGGTTTAACCGGGTTCTGAGACCCGACTCATTTGTACTGCAGTGCTAGCTGTATGTAATATAACAACAGAAAACTTGCTTGTTTGTTTAAGGGCGAGTAAATTGCATGGCTTATCGGACATGGCGGACGACTTCAACATAAAGTTTATCAACAATGAAGGGGATTTTATTGCACATCTAGCCATCCAAATTCCCACATTTAATGCCGCTGGGGAGTACATGACGAATTTGACGCTTTTTCCTAAACATGCGCGAACACCGGATATGTATTTTCTAGGAAATAGTTCTTACAGCTCCTCCATTTCGTTTCTAGAATTCGGATTAGAAGTCGAGGGCAGAGCTTCTGCGTTCGAAAATATATTTATTAGAAATGTGAATCTTTCTTTCGACTATAAAGACTTTGATATCCAATTTTCTAATCTCACGTTACGATCCGCTACCAGCCAGCCGGGGGCAAGTTTTGAATGGTTCCGGCAAATCAATACATTCTCTGAAATTCCTAAATATTTCAAGTGGAATTGGGTGTTATTTCACACTACTCTCGATCTTTCAGCTGTAGCAAATGAAATTGGTCAATGTCTATTGCAAAATGTCTTCAGCGTAAGAAACAAACAAGTCAGGGTTTTGGTGCAAATTTAACGAAGTGTCGAATTTTTCAGGAATGCACGTTGATGGACCTATTGGTTTCAGGTTGGAATTAACATACTTATGTTGGGCAAATGAAATTAGGATGTTCACAAAGTAAAATTTTTTCAGCGGAATGCATGAAACTTAATATTGACGAGGAATGTTTAAGGATTGACATTCTCGACGTTTACTTTCCACTTCAACCAGGATCCAGCATTAAGGAAAATGACCAAAGAGCCAGGCGATCCTGTTCCGATGACTACACTTGTTGCTTCATTCCACCAACTTTCGGGGTGTCTACTTCAAACTCGAATCATTTGGGTAAGTGGAAAATTGATATACTCTCTATTCGCACACGGTAGAACTTATCACCGAGGGATAACATATACACAGGGGCTAAATCCTGCTCAGCCCCAAATGTCAACGCTCAGGTAATACAAATATTACCGATACCGGAGACAATTTCTTACCCTCAGAAGACAATTTGTTACTATAGTGTTACCACGCGGTAGAATTGCATAGTATCTCCGCCGGTAACAATTATGTCAAAAAATATCGAGAGTGTAGTCAACCTTGTATTGAATGTTCTTCTTCACGCCCGCCATTGCTGCATTTTCGGAAGACTTTGTAACTTCATTGCTAATTACCTTATACCTGAACCGAAATTTTCGTAAAGTTTCGACTGTTTCACAAAACTATGCAAATATGTCTTCCTGCAGCCCAAATTTTTTTATTGTGTGAAGATAAGAGTTGAATGTATTATCATTTTTCAACATCAAGCTGAATCTTTTGCTTATTTCTTCCATGATATTTGTTGCATGGTGGAATGGTCCAAGGTCGGTCCAAAAAATTAGATTTAGTATTTTATGATACCTCTTTATGAAAGGAATCAGGTATATCACACATTTCTGAAACTATTTAAACTGTGCGACCACACAGCCCTTGTGGAGTTAAGGGTCACAAACATCCCAAATTTGTCCCAACGCCTGCAAAATCGAGAATTTCTTGAGAAATATTTAATATTTTAATGCCTCGTCTGTTTTCACCTCAGATATATATTTTTCATAATAATATTACCCCCTCGGAATTTCTTTGACGATTGTCGATGTAGAAATCGTGGCCAATGTCCAACTTTTTTGGTGAAATTGTGCTGTAAAGCTTGGGAAGTCTTGACCTTCCGTATATTTTAATGCAGATTTTTTTGCATACATTTTGACCCAAAATTTATGGACTTTACAATGATACACGTAGTTTGTATTAATCATTGACTACGTGGTCGCATCAGGCATTGACTTGGCTTGAAACTTTCCAAAAATAATTTCAAGAGTTTTTAACTTTTGAGGGGTCGATATGATGGTTTTTTCTCATGGTGCTTTATTGAAGTTAATATTTTAGGATTCTCCATACTTTTTGTGTATGTCTTAATTTTTTCATGGCCACACCCTTCTCCATTGAAATTTAGTCAAGGCTTCTCTGGGACTTAGTGAATCAAATTCTGGTACTTGAGCAAAACTTATTTCCCGACTTCTTCACTTTGAAATCGTGTACGAAATTTATTTCCCATTGAAAGCTTATGAAATTTTTCCTGTACGGAGTATACCTATTTGAATGAAATTTTTCCTGTACGGAGTATACCTATTTGACTTTACCAAATGTTGTCATTATAAATATACACTGTAAAAAAAGTTGAGTAAAATTGCCACCAAAACACTGTTGGATAAAACTCGCCCGGGATTGCACAACTAATGAGCAAAAGTTGATAAATTTTACTCAATTTTGAGCAACGCTTATCCAAATTGTTGCTTTGGTGGCAATTTTGCTCAACCTTGAGTAAAATTGGGTGAATTTTTTTAGTGTGTATAATTGTTTACGCAGTCCATCAAGTAGCAGCCAAATTTGGAGATTTGATCCTATCGGGCGAAAAAATTTTTGGGCTGGGACGTCACAATAGTTCATCGCGTACAGTACATACCCCGACGAGAGGACCAGTCGTTGATCAAGTGCTGAGTCTTCCAGACGCTGAAGCTCAGGTCATGTGGAAAGCTTATAATAATGACGTGTTCGGCGGATTGTTCAGAACATGGTAGGATTATATTGAATTCATTTATTTATGTAGATATCCTAGAATTATTCCTGCGTGTATTCCATTTGCATATATATTTTTGACGCATTAGCGAGCGTTTATGCACATGGAACATGGAAAGCTGGGATCGTGAGATCTACATATGCAAATGAGGTGACTCGTAACAATAAATTTAGTGTATGCATCATATCGACTAACTACTTTTGAATTGGTACAAGGGGATTGTTTTAGGATCAATTTGATGCTATTAAGTAGTCATATTTGCAAGAGTTCATTCTTTATATTTTTTAAATTCGAAAAAAATTGTCTTCGAGACTTAATTACATAATTTTTAACGTAGTCAAGGGTGAAAATACGTTTTTTCAGTCGTTTGATATGTAAATACGTACATTGGTGAAGTTAGGAATATTTTTAGCTATATAAGTAGCCCGAAGTCCTGCCACATTGACCCCAATTGCAGATTTACATATATGAATAATACATATGCTTGACTTTCATTGAAAATGTAGGTGAATAACCTAAAATTATACTTCGAGTTGTTGAAAAAAACTGTTCGTAATTGCACCCACAAATTTACCCAACATTACGCGTAAACTCTAGAAATCCGATTGTTTCAAATGCAGAGTAAAATGACATCAAATTTGATACTCCACCTAATAATAATTTGTAGTATCAAATGAATCTCCACGCGGAAATGCTTGATATTGCCTGAATGGAGCGAAATTCTTGTTTCAGGGGATCTGAAGTTAGAGGACACCAGAATGGGAAGGAAAATTTAAGCACGGAATTTTTAGATCAAAATGGAACTTTCGTAGCGAATTATTCCGTCGAGTTCCCAGCTATTTACGTTAGTGGAAACTATGATTCTGACCTAACGCTGTACCCAGACGCCGGCCTGTTTCGGGATCAAGGAGAGTTGAGTTTGATTGGAGCAGGTCGATACAATTGGACTATGAAATCCGTCTGGATTAACGTTGAGGTATTCGGAAGGGCACCAATGACTGAAAAAATGTCAGTTTCAAACGTGGCTATCAGCTTAGGGATTGAACGCCTTCAAGAAAGGGAAGGTCTAAAATTTACCGCCTTGCACAATTTCTTAATTACATATGGCGGAAATTTAACGACTGATAAGCATCCAACCTATTGGGGGGAAGTAATCAATCATCGAGTAATTGAAGATTTCTTATTCCACGATAAGAATAATGAAATAAATGTTGCGTTCCCAGAAGTTGTAGGGAAGCAGTTGCAGTGTGCTTTGGACTACGCAGTTGGTGTAAGTATTATCTATTTGATAAGGATAAAGGTGCTTTTATCAGACCATCTATATTATAAGCTGGAAAGGTTTGTCTGCAACGGAAGTGAAAGTAATTTTCCGTGACGGAAGTAAACATGGAGAAAGTTTCACTTCCTCGCCAAGAGGCATTTCTAGCTAAGTAGAAAGTACGACACAATAATCGCATGCGAGTGCATTGAGGTGTCTGCAATAGGTCCAACTGGTGACCTGCGCAGCTGGATGTCTACCCCTATGGGTAGGAATCCTCCTCACATAATACATACATAAGTAGAAAGTAAAAAAATAATTCACTGGAACTATGAACAATCCTACTTAATGTTCGCGAAAATCAAATACGTAAGCTCTCGCCCGGCGGGAGACGGGCTTATACACTAGTTTAACCATAAAATGATTTGATTTAAAATTTTAGAATTGCAATATCTTGGACGTCGTGGTCTCTGGTAAGAATAAAATAAAATGTTCATATATTCTCATAATTCACATATTTTTTTAATACTACTTTAGGGGACTGTCTTCGAGTCGATCGAAATGACAATTGTTTCAGTGACTATGTGATGACTGTTCGACAGCCAACAACGTGGAGTACAGCGATGACGAGCGAACCTGAGACCGAATTTACCGAAGATGAAACACCGACCATGACCACACATCTTGCAACATCAACCACTGTGGCTGATACGACTTCCACAACAGAAGCGCCCGATACCCCGGACAGCGTAGTTCTACTTCTGAACCAAACCCAAATTTTATTAGATCAAGCTCAATTGCTCTTAAAGATAGTACAAGGACAAATGTGATCTTGAATTAGATTGGATTAGATTTAAATCTCAGATAAATCTTCCAATCATTTGTTAGAGACATTTTTAAAATGGAAAGAATAAACCAATTAATATAGTTTGATGTGCAATTCCTTCCGCCCCGCTATTATTTGATATTGGGCTTCTATTTATGCTCCAACTGATTAAGCTGAAACTTCTCAATTATTTTGAAGGTACCACCCACTAGCTGAAACCTTCACCATGCCGGTTTCTTTGGTAATATAATAATTGAAAACTTAGTAATACTTGTTGCATAAGCCATGACCAGTCTTAAAATTGGAATTGTTAATACGTGGTGACTCACTATGATATACATAATCAAATACGGAGAGCAAATCGTTATATCACATTTAAGTAAATTAAACTATGACAATATAATTATGATTTGTGATACATACATATGTATATGTATGTAGACAATGTAGAGTTGTGTTTGCCTAATCGCAGACAAATTAAAAATCTCACAACCAATTTTCAATAAGATTTATGAACCATGCACATTTTTATGACACAATAATACATACAATGGAGTATTTGTAACGTTAATGTCCAATTTGTTGTGGCAATGAGCAATTTTGTTTCTTCAAACTCGCTAATTACAATTTCGGCATTGAATTTTTAACTTCCAGCTATAGACACCTCGAAAGTTTTCTCAAAATTATCCATCTAATAGATCGAAATGTACAACAATATGTACGTCTTGATATTTTTCGTAATCAAACTTGTGCTTGCGGAGTGGGAAACCGTGGAGGTGCCAGAAGTGGGCACTATCCGGGGGTTAATTACTGAGGATATCGTCCAGTTTAAGGGTATCCGCTATGCAGAAGCACCACCCAGATTCCAACCTGTCAAAAGTTATAATCGTTACGATACGCCTGTGGATGCAAACAATGAGACATCCTGTTTTCAAGCTCCATCAAGTTTAATTCCTGTATTGGTAGAGGACTGTCTTGTGCTCAATATTTATAAACCAAAGGTAAATTTATAATAATTATCACTGGAATAAGTTTTTTTTTCTTAACCGCTTTTCATACTATAAATGATTGAAACTGTCAGACATTACATCACAGGAAACATTTTTAATACCAGAGAGGATTCAGTTCCACGCTATCATCATTTTAATTCCATCAGTGACTTTGTTATAAGTAATAGGCTGAGGAGCATTGTACAAATTTTATAATCGGCAGAGACTTGCTTGAAAAAATTATTGAAAAAATTAATGCAATTATCTACACTACAAAAATGTGTATTCAGAGTTTCCACTTCTCTTGTTTTCTGGCAAAGTGCAACGTGGGTGGAAAAATGTGAACAGTGTATTTGATTATGATTGCGTTTGAAGCAGAACTCGGAAGTTGATGACCATTCAGTAAAATTAACTGAATAAGCTGTAGCGACCGAGCTCATGTGTTAGGAACAATTTGGTGTACATTTATGGATGCTAACGCTTAACTTGTCCAACACCTAAGTTCCTTGTCATAATATAGATATACATATTAATTCTATTTTCAAATTTTGCTTGATATAAGCTACATATGTCAATATGCAATAGTATTGTTACACGCGTTTGCATTTTTGCATTTTCAGGGAAACTCTAGTGGACTTCGTCCCGTGTTGATCAAAATACACGGTAAGGGCCTCATCCATTATCAAAGATCGTAGTAGTTTTTTTGTAAATATGAATATATCGATCTTGAAGTAAGAAAAGTTTTTAAAAATTAGGAAAGTTGAAAAATACGCAAAATTGTGATACAGTTAACAATCATGATTTTTTTTAATAAATACATATTTTGCTAAAATGGTAGAAATTTTGGAGAAAATATCATGTTTTCTAAAAGCTAAAAATATTGAAAAATCTTGAAAAAATTTTCTCAATAGTGTGACGTACAACTAACCATAAATACCCTTGACACGTTTGAGCAGCATTGGGTTCAAATTGAAAATACCATAATTAAATAAGTGTCCGGCCTTTGTTCATTACTACATAATAGATTTGTTTGAACAGTAATGGGTCATAAAAATTTGAATAATAAATAAATTGGTTATGTGAGGAGTCAAATTAATAATGTTTTAAAAGTATGTAGTTGCCTAAATCGGGTGATTTCTCTAACAAAACTATGAATTCTGATTTCTGCTTGAAATTACATCATAATGATACAATTTCATTTCAGATAAATTCTAATTTTAAAATCTCAAATACTATTTAAACTAGATACAATGGGATTTATATATTCCATTGTATTTAGTTTACTATTTGACATCGGATCATGATTTTATTTAGGTAACTATTTTCCGTAATTAATAAAAACCAGGCCAAATATATAACTTATGGAAGGTCCAACGTACTTTTTAATTTGGTCCAAAAAGTATCCTTCTAGGGCAAATAATTTACAAAAATAAAAATTTTTGAAAGACCACTAAATTTACCCTATGTAGACCCTGACTGGTAATTTTAGAAATATATCTCAAGGAAAAGTTAAATACACTCCCAGAACAATTTATTTGTCACACTCACTATTAATTGGTATCTTTATAGTCCCAAAATTATTAACCATCAAAAACCATATCGATTTCTTAGCACATTAGTTTTAAACATATAATGCCTTCGAAATATCTGGAAAATTACGGGGAGACAAAAGTTCATCAATATCAAATTTTTAAATTTTCTCAATGCTGTTGTTTTAAGGTTTTACATAATTCGCATCCTCACAAAAGTATGCTGTATTTTTAATGAATAGTTTTATGATGAAATGCTATCGTCCAAAAAAATACATTGATTTATCATCCGAATAATGATAAATTAATTAAAATTTTGCCGAAGGCCATCAACGTAGCGTCCATCACACAGCAATTGGACACGTCTTTATTTCAAAAAATTATGAAACTTTATGGAGACTACAAAATCAACACAAAATTATTGTTTTTTTTGCGAAATTTGTGAAACCATATTTTGTGAATCTTCTCCCGACATTTTTTTTTGAGCTTCACAAATTTGCTAAGTATATGAAACGTAATGCAAAATGAGATGTCGTGTCGTGACTACGTCAAATATTTCGTTAATAACAAATCCGCTGACGCATTAACCCACATAACTGATGTACATGTAAGTTACTCTGATTAATAAAACAAGGGGCTCTTTCATACGGTGGTCCGGAAGTATGTTCACTGGGGACAGATTACTAGCAGAAAAGGATATAATCCTTGTTTCTATAAATTATAGACTAGGGATTTTCGGTAATTACTTAAATGCATGTCTTAACTAGTGATATAAGCAAATATATTGATGTTCACAAAATTACGCACCATATTAAATCACCTGGTAAATTTAGGATTCTTCACTTTCGAAACTGATCAATCACCCGGAAATCTTGGTCTCCTAGACCAGTTCTGGGCTTTAAAGTGGATCAAAGAGTTCATAATTCACTTTAATGGAAATCCCGATCTTATAACAATTTATGGACAAAGTGCAGGCGCGGCAAGTGTAGGGTATTTGATGGATAGCAAACTAACCCGTGGAAACGAAACTTACAAACTGTTTCACCGAGCCATAGCTTCCAGTGGTACGATAAGTATTTCTAATATGTTATTGTCATCAGCTAATCAATGTTATTGTGGATTTTGTAATAATGATCCTTCAACAACGCAGGAGATAATCTTGCAGGATGGACGATAAACCTGAGTGCGAAGGATCAAAGTCAACAATTCGTGGCAGCGTGTAATTGCTCAGATGGAACTGTCGACGAACAACTTATTTGTCTTCAAAAAATAAATTCTTCATCGATTTTTGACATTGCAAATAATATCAGTTTTTACGTAAGTGACAAAGCATTGTATATGTATAGCGATTGGGATTATTAATAAATTATTGTCACAAAAAGAGTAGCATAAAATTTGGCGTTAGCCTAGACTTGCAATTGAGGCCTCGACGGGCGCGATCAAACCAGTGAAAATCCTTCACAAATTTAATAAATGCATGTTTAGAAAATCACACCATGTACCAATGCTCAAATTTGGAGGAGGAATTTGCAACCGATCAGGAGAAAGTAAATTTGAAAAGTTAACAATTTGTCAACTGTAGGGCGCATGTTCTCCTCATTGGATGCAAATATATCCGCTAAACCTCAGCATTGGTGGATATTGTCATTCGAAAATTGCATAATAATTAAATTTGTGATGGATTGATACTAGTCTGGCCTAAATTGAGTCCATACATACGCTGGGAGACCTGGGTTGTTAATCTTAAAGCTGGGAAGTACAAAATTTGTGACTTTAATAAGTGAATTTGTGACCCACAAATGACTTTAGACTTTAGAGAAAATAATGGCGTAATATTGGTTCTCAAATAATCAAAAATCTTTTCTTCAGGGGGTGCCGTCAAATCAAGCGAACACCATAAGCCCTGAATTCGTTATGGTACCCATGCACCCACAGGAAGTGGATCCCGAGACGAGGAGTCGTGTACCACTACTCCTTGGAACAAATATGGATGACGGTAGCGTAATCTTTTCACGCTACTTCAATCAGTTTATCAAGCCTAATCGCTCTCACGAAGATCCAAAATTCTTGCAAAATAAATTTATCCAGAACATGTTGAATTCCAGCAATTTCGGTAATGTTAATTGAATAAAAATATGTAAAAATATGTCACTTTCAATTTTTCGTTCCAGGAATTTTGGACAAACCAATTGGGATGCATGAGACAGTTATTTCGTCATTCCTGAAGGAGGCGAGGATGGCCACCAAGTTCGCCGAAATGACCCCTTACGTCTCGAACGTAAGCAAATTTAATCATTTAGTTAATAATTATTAGTTGAGTTTTGTCATAATAACATTACGAAGAAGTCAACTGAAATACATCACGAGCATGTTTGTACAGTTATTTAAGTTTAAAACACTCACAAGGGACACTCACGACCTGTCGTTTGAGTCCAGGGTACCCACTATGTTTTTTAGAATCTACTAGGACCCCAGATGAAGGATCCATTCATATTTCCGTGTAAAACTCATATTTGGCGCCATGGCGTGGCGCCAAACTTAAAAATTTACATTTTCGACCAACTTCAAACCCTCATAACTTTTGCAGTTTATGTCGGATTTTCAAAATTTTATGCTTAAAATGATCACAAAAGTCGAAATTTTTGACAAAAAATAAAAATAAAAAATTTCTAATTTTTGCAATATTTTTAGGATTTTTTCGACGAACCCCCATTTCGAAGAAAATTACGAAATTTTGCGAAAAGTTAAAAGCGATAATTTTAGAAAAAATTTCATGGAATAAGAAAGTTGAACTCTCTGTCATGATTTTTGCCAAAAATTTTGAAAATCCGTCCACAATTTCAAAAGTTATGGCGGTTTCAAAAATAAAAACATTCAATTTTGGCGAATTTGGCGCCACGCCACGTCGCCAAATATGAGTTTTACAAGGAAATATGAATGAATCCTTCATCTGGGGTCCTAGTAGATTCTAAAAAACATGGTGGGTACCCTGGACTCAAACGACAGGTCGTGAGTGTCCCTTGTCAGCTAAGCAATATTTATATGGTTGAGCAGGCCAAGGGTTTTTATTTAAAAAAAATAACTACGAATAATTTTATGAAGTTATAGTTTACGGGGGTACAAACACATACATGCGTACATCAATTAAGATTTAACCCCATCCAAACTTGTTTTGCAGATCTTTTCTACTTACTACTTCAAAGCTCCGGCTTTACATAAAGCGATGTCGCACGCAAAAGAAATAGGTGGGGTGAGGTTGCCCACATACCTGTATCACTTCGAATTTTACAATGCAAATCGGTATGTCTAAACTTATTCGAGCAATACATAACCAATCTGAATTTTTTTTAAATGCATGCAAATTAAATTAATGTACAGAAATCGGTCTTACTATGTGGACATGGGTGGTGCTGAAGAAATTCCGCCAGGCAAGTTTGGGATTTTACTTATGTATTTTTAAAACTTCAAGGTGAGTTTGTGTTTATTTTCTTCCGTGTTAAAGGTGTCGCTCACGGGGACGAGCTTCATTATCTGTTCAAATTTGACGACCAGCCGTACAACGATACCGAAAAGGCTATAAGTTCGAAGATGATCGGGATCTTTTATTCGTTTATGCGCTTCGGGTTAGGAATTCCAAATTTCCTAATCAACATTTCCAGACTTTAGCCTAATATTCTGGGCTAGTCATTTATGTTTTACTTTATTTCTTACAGCATACCATCAGGATGGACGAAAACCAAGGCTCCGCATTGGCCTGAAGTAACGGAGGATTCATTTCCGTACCTACGAATCGACATTAACGATACATTGGGGGCCCATTATGGTAGCACCTTTCACTGCCAACACGGGCAAGATGTTGGAAAATGAGAAAATTAAATAATGTATAACAATATCTCAGAAAAGCATGAAATCTCATCGAAGCTAATCCAAATAATAAATAAATTTACAGTGCAGAATTTTTACAAGTTCTAGTTCTAGTTCTCGGTATAGCAAAACTAAAATTTAAAATATTTTACATACAGTTGATCGGCACTGAAACAAAAATTTCTCCATCGTTTTTTTAATTTTCCACAAGGCAACATTTCAAAATATCCTTAATTTTTGACGTTGAACTAAAATTTTCCATGAGACATTATGTGCCGAAACGTGGCCCTTGCTGTATTACGTGCTTTTATCAGGTTTGTTTTTCAAAATTATTTATGCACCCGGAACTACTTATATGTAGTAAAGCGACCAAGAGCAAAAATTCTGCACTCTAACTAGTACCAATTTTGGAAATCGCACCACGCTTTGCTAAAATTTCTCGTTTATATCGGATGTATTATTATTGGTTATTGACTTAAAAGAAAAACAATATTTTTCTATTAATTTCTTGCTGTGTACATGAACTTTATTTGACAAAAAATGATCAAAGAGATTAAATTAATAATTACTTTAACGGCAATTATTTAAATACATACATGTTTACTTTGCAATTCTTTCAAAACTTGTAGTTATATTAATTGAATTTGCTTTGTTAAAATTATTAAGATTTGATTTTGTGTTTGTGATATTTTGCACATCATATGGCAAAATTAATAAATTCACAATACATGAAATCATTCTTCCTCCCTCTTCCATTTTAAAATTACTTACATGCATATTATACAATTAAATATGACTTAAGTTGCGATATTTTTATGTAGGTAAATAGTATACATAGTGTAAATAGCTCACTAAATATAATCATAGTAATTTATTGAGTAAATAATGTGGTGGCTACGTCTGATGACAATTCATTCAGTGATGAAGGAAGTAGGTCCAGCTCGAATTATTATCATGCATTATGATTCCAACTTTGAGTTTAATTCTTGCATAGAAATTAACACAAAAAATGCTGCAACTCTAAAAACATGCATCATCATAGACTCTACCATCAATTTCTGAGTAAGTGTTTATCCGCAAATATTAATCCTAATTCCAATTACCACTTAATACAAACATACACAATTCTAAGTGCATATAAAAATAGTTTCCGTTCCCTTGAAACAGAAATTTAAATAAATACATAAATGAGCCAATACCACTTTCGCTTTTCCAATCCCTTCCTCGCCCAAAGAGCTAATTATTCCTCGTTGTATTGCACAATTTGTTACTCTTACTCCTACGACTTCGTAACTCATTCTATATCAAAAATGAAGAAGAAGTCGTAAAAATTCCCCCCTGACACAGTCTGACAACGCACAAACAGAATGGTTAGATTGCAGATTACAACATCAAAGGCAAGTATGTAAACCAACAATACACGGTCAAGTTAGAGTGCAGAGATTGCATTATAATTTATGACGTGTAATGTGATTCAGACAAAAAAACGAGCATGCAATCTTCTTAAAGTTACTCGTTATCCCGTCGCAGGACAAGTAACAACGCCTTCACAGCCAACTTGACAAAATGCTGAAACTAATAATATTTGGAGTCGTTACTCTCCTGTCCAGCATTATTCCTGCCGTTTTTGGCCAGCAGTGCAGTGGTAAGGATTGCAATTTAAAGTTTTAAAACCAGATTTTTTTAGTAATTTTGTCCCAATTGTTTTTCCACAAAAGTTGGGAGGACGCTACAGTACCGTGATCCTCGTGGGGTCACGCATAATTATTTATTCTCATGGGAAAATCCACCCACTGCAAGTTTGGAGTTGGATTGGGACGGTGCTAACTCAGTTTGCAGGAGACATTGCATGAACCTGGTCAGTTTGGAGTCTGCTGCGGAAAATACGTTTGTGAAGGTGAGATGATTGAAAAGGTGATTTTTAAGGGCACATGGGATCGTCGTGGGAACAATTACTTGTAATAAGTTTGACCGATTAGTGTGAAAGGTGATTGAAAATTCTGACTCGAGTAACTTTTGGTTTCCATAGCAACACATCTCGTCTGGGAGGAAGCGTTACATTTGGACGAGCGGAAGGAAAACGGGACAAAGTTGGACCTGGACAGGGTCCGGTGTTGGTATTGGATTGGATAGAAGGCGTTCCGACTGGAGTCACACGGGAGGTAATGTAATCTAAATATTGACCCAATTTTAAAAAAAGCTATGTAATTTTTCGTTAATCGTCAGGTGCGGGAATACCACAGCCGGATAATAGAGAAAATAATCCGAGATTAGAGGGATATAATGTGAGATGAAGTTATTTGGTGACTAAAAATGCAGGAAAAATTATTCTCATAAATTTATGTTTCAGGGCATCGAGGAATCGTGTCTGGCAATATTTAACAACTTTTATAACGATGGGTTGAAGTGGCACGACGTAAGTTGACAATAGTTATAACTGATTTATGGAAGCATTAGTCATATTCGAAGCTGACCAGTAGCCACTGTTATTTTGAAAATTTTCAAGGAACACGTTTTCAAATTTTAATTCAAAATTTAAAAGTACAATTATGTCCTTGTTATTTTTGTCCCAGCTTTTTACAATTCTAGATGATCAAGTTCTTTTCCTATATTTTATGATGAGATGACACCTACATATGTAAATTATATTGAGTATGATTTAATTCGAAATTACATTCCACAGGTTGCGTGCTACCATAAGAAGCCGTTTGTTTGTGAAAGCCGATAGTTCAGAGCTTCATGAAGGTATTAAATATAGGCTAAAATTATTTTGCTTATGATCTTAATGACAATAAGATCGCCAATAAATTTAATAAATTTTTATTAAATTAGAGCTTACATATATTAAACCCATTATTTTATTTGTAATGTAAGATACCATTCCTACTTTGTTGCCTATAATTTAGCCTGAAATAAAATATGTATACTGTTAGCTCTCCATTTTAATAACTAATTCTCTGGAATTATTACCTCTGCATGCAACGCGATCATTGGATCTTCGTCAAGATTTGAAATATAAATGTCTGCGTATCCAAATGAAGCGACAACTACGGATTTTCCTGTACACGTCCCATTCTCCAGGTTGCCTGATATCACGTCACAGTACGTTCCTTGGGGGAGACAAGTCTGGAAAGTGGATGAAAATAAATGTTAAGCACATCCAAATTAAATTTAAACTGATTAAAATCCTTAATACCTGCACAAAGGTTCGTCTCATTTCGAAATCGTCATTGTTGATTGCGATGAATCCTTTGTCACCACGACAAAATGTGATTTGATTGCTCATATTATCAGTCCAGTCATTCAACCCAGTTCCTGATAAAAAAACAGGAATTAATTACCAAGACAAATTTAAAATCTGAGTTTTTACCGTACCTTCGACAACATTTCGGAATTTGACCATATTGTAAATCTGACGCCATCTGTGTTCACAAATCCATCCTCCACTACAGGTCATATCCTCATTGACAGGAACGTCGTCCGTGGCTCCGTCCGTGTTTGGGGGTCCAATCTAAACAAATAATATCATTACTTGGTCAAGATTGCTTAAGTAGTTGTAAATCTGCATAACATGATTTTTTACCCACCCAGTTAGCCTCGTATGGCTCCCATCCATACGAGGACATCACTCTGGTCACACCGTATGGATGGGCTAGCATAAAAGCTTGAGCCATTTTGTACAACCTGAAGTCACGGAAGGTCAGAATATCCGCCCCACCAGCTCCATGGCCTCGTTGATTGTCGTGATTGTCAATAAATGCTAAAGCATTGTTGGAAGGATATAATCCCCATCCTGTTTCGCCAGGACCTACACAAATGCATAACGACAAGTGAAATATGGCGACAAGTACTGATAAGGCGAGACGAGCAATGGAACTTACCCCAATTGACGAGATATGCCAACTTCTCGTCACCAACTTTTCGGAATACTCGGCCTAAATGTGCCCCATATTTGAACTCTGTTACTCGCCCAATACTAAAATATTCCGAGCCTGGAATTGGCTCATTTCCTGTTCAAATGTAATAATTCCATGTTCATAGTTAGAAAAGGATCTGTTATAAGTGATGAAGTTTTCATACCCAGATCGATAACTTCTTGGACAATGAATGGCTTTTTAAAGGCTGGGAAGCCATGCTCTGTCGGGAGATAGTGTAACCCACCCAAGATGAGAGTCATATCCTCTGGCCACATGTGTTTGGAAGCATCAACTCTGCAAAATTAATATAATTTAGGACACTCTTTCAAAATAAATAACTACTAAAAATGTGTACCTAAATCCTGCCACGCCCAAGTCGACCAATTTATTGAGATACTCCAAAATCTTTACACGCGGATACTCCGAGCCCAATTTCAAATCACGGAGAAATACAAGTTCGCAATTCCTGACTTCAATCGGATTACTGTAGTCGGAAACATTTCCGATGGGATTAGGGCAGTCGCCTTCGCCTATTCCGATTCCATTAAAATCGAGGACACCGTAAGGCACGCCGGGGTAGTCTTTATTCGGACCGGAGAAAGTACTGCCGCCCGTCCCGACGCCTTCAAAGAAGGCACCCGTCATGTGGTTGATCACGGCGTCCACGTAAATTCGGACACCCACGGCGTTACAGCGACGAACCATGTCGGCAAACTCGGTTTCGTTACCGGATCGTGTCTCCAATTTGTACGAAACGGGTTGGTATCTCTCGTACCAAGGGCGAAATGGATCGTTGATCACTGCATTTTCATTGGGAGGTGACACCTATAAATGTGTAAATTAATTTTTTATTTTGAGTAAATTTAGTCGGAAGGATAACTATAAAGTAAATTCTCAAGTTCATAAATTGTTAATTTTTTTACAAGTTATTTGATAAAATTTTGCAAAGTTGCATAAACTTAGCTTTGATTTGCAAACTTATTTTATATGCTAATTTGAGCAATTTTTACAAACTTGCATAAAATATGTAGTAATATAAGTTTACTGGTTTTACGAAGTTTGCAAAAGTAGAAAAGCCTAGAGATGAGTGAATTGGATACGTGTTTAAAATTTTACGAGGTTTGGAGAAAAATACTAATTGTAAAGATTAAATATTTTTTCACCTGCACGCCACCGTAGCCGAAAGGGCCGAGGAATCTTTCACATTCGTCGGCAATATTTGACCATTTCCACTCAAAAAGATGGACCATGGTGTGACGACCTGGGACCATATTGGTCTCCCATTGTCCCATGGCTGGCGTTGAGAGAAAAGCTCCCAAAACCAGTAATGCAATTGGTTTGATCATTTTATGAGAGAATAATTTTTAAAGGTGACTCTATTTTTAGGAAAATGATTAAACTGATTGATTTTGTGTGGAGAAACGCCGTCTTTTATACCCCACAGAGATGGTGAAAACGTTAAATCAAGCTTCATTTGACTCTGTGGTAGGATTGATAAGCTTGAAAAATAATTGAATGAGATAAGCTTCATGTTTCGATTTGTTTGTTATATTTGAATAACATCGGAGACGTAATGGATTTGTCAAATATCTATCGATGACAATGCATTAAGTTATATAATTTTTTCTATTTCGTCACTGACGAATCGTCAGTGCATGTTGGTCCGGGTGGAAAATAACCAATTGAGAATCAATTACATATCATGTTAATCGTCGTGAAGTATGTAGGCCGTGATGTAATAAATAAATCATATGTACATGATAAACTCAATGACGAAGTGCAGTCCAGTGAGATAAAGTGTTTGGTCAACGTTTTTTGTGTCAAAATTGGTTTGTACTTTAAGGTGCAGATGTATTTCGGATGAAGCTGTCATACGACCTGAACTTTCAATATTTCCAAATTCTGAAATGTATATTTACATATTTACTTTCTAAATATTTAAGTGCATGAATAGCTTGGCTTGGATTTTTTTACAAATTCATATGCCAATCTATTGTAGATATCCGGACACTTCATTCTCCACATTTCATTCACTCTATTCTTCGATCTTGTGACTGGGTTTGATTTGAAAACTTCTGTTCCTTCATTCATATTGAAATACTCTTATTCATGCATAATTACAACAAATGCAAAGTAAGATGAAGTCATAAAACCGCTAACGTTTGTACTTCTTAAGTGTGGACTATTGTACGTCTACAGACAAAGAAATTCATTGCTCGAGGATCACAATTATTTCCAGTACAAAATTTGTAAAATTTAATTATTATATGAAATTTTAACTTGGATCACGCAAGTGGTCTGGCAAGCGAAACGTAGTAAAATATAATGTCACTATGTACAACATAACCCTTAATATTTAATTAGCTAAGGCAACGTTTTGTTTAAAATTTAGATGTCGAGGAACAAATGCATGTAACTTGAGTTAATTGTGTATTTGACCGGTACAGATATCATATTTCCAACTTGCTTTACTTTAGTGATTTAGTTATCTAAAGAAATATTCACATTAACTTTAGGACGAACTTACTTATTAAATTGCATATGCCAACTTATTCGAAGTCGTTACATGAATGTACATAAATATTTGTATCAGGGAATTATTTTCGATCGTTCAGTCTTACTAAATCTGTGACGAAGTCAAGATTACATACATGTATATTACATGCATAACCTGATTTGGCTATAAAATTTCCGAAAATTAGTCATAAATGCAGCAAATGTTTTGCATTGCGCAACACAGCATTTTTCGTAATTAAATTTTGCAAAAAGAGGTTAAATATTAATTTAAATAACAATTTTTTTAAGTATTAACATCAAAATTTAAATAGTGATACATGATTTAGTGCAGAACGATGGATGAAGAAACTGCAAATTCAAGCCCGTCCAGAGGAAATAGCGTCGTCGCAACTTTGATTGGCTTCGTTATCATTATCATCATCTTCCTGGTGATAGCTGCGCTTGTGGCAACGCTGATGGTTCTGAAGTTCAACTCTGATAATTACTATCCAATCCCCTTGAATGCCACGGAACACGTGGAATTTCGGTTTTCACCAGGTAAAAATAACTTCTGGACTAAAAGTAAGTAAATGTTTCTCGTACATGCAAATTTCTAACTGGAAATTCCCTAATTACTTTTGCAGGAAATTTCGGATTCACGTTTTACCAGTAAATAAGTAATTGCGTATTTACTCACCAAGGAGCTACTCCAGTAGCCCTTATTTTTTTTATACATAATGTGAACAATACTAATTTAGATATTTAAATATTGGGGTCTAAAATTCTATACTAATATTCCATAGCTTGCTTAATCTGAAAAATGAAAAAAACGTGATGTACATACGTACGAAATAAATAAGTCTGTAAGTATATATTTGAAATATTTCGGAGTATTATTATTTTCGGAGTATATGTATGTAATATGTATGTAGGTAGAAGATTCATAAATGTCTTTTTCTGCATTTCTCAATAAGCTTGTCACAACTTTTGACTCACAAGTAAATTCGGTCTACTTATGTACTTTCATCCCTAGTAGTGAGTCGGATAAAGAGGTGGTAAGGTAATAATACGCAGTGAAGGGGACGTGGAAATAGAAATCAGATCATGTGCATACATTGGTTTGATGAGCTAAAGATCTGTTGGGAAGGCGGTAAAATAAATATGACAATTTTTTTTCATACTCAAAATAGAAATTTTCATGAAAACTGAAAACCTGAAGAGCACTCAACGCGCTATACATATTTAGATTATTTACAATCCATAACGGATTATTTCATTCATTAAAAAAATATTTCTTAATCTCGTAAATACGTCCACTCTCCCCCCGTGTCTAATTATTGTCCAGTCCGACACAATGTATTGTCGCCGTGTCAAGTACCCCACTTTGATTTCTCTTCCCATTACGTGGACAATACCATTGAATTTTAGAATTGTGCACATTTCTGCATCACACAGTTCGAGTTAATGAGAAATTATGTGACCAAATTGAAGCCACTCTTGACATTTATTATCTACTTACGAGTGGACGAAAGTTGCATTATGCAAGTCCAGCTAGACAATTATCATGAACCTGAACGAATTTGATTTGATTCGACTTGGTCAAACGTATCCCCTCTTGAGTTGCATCAATCAGCCAGCATCCCTCATTCCGGGTTGGAAGGGATGCCGCTGTGGGTGAAAACCAGTCCCATTTTTTGCACTCATAACTTTCAGAAGGGTCCTCTTCCGTCGGTGGGAAACTGCATCCTTGTCGCGTAGCGGAACCGGTTCTCACTTTTCCCGGACTTTGGATACCAGCAATTCTGTCCAGGGCAAGTTTACGAGTGTGAAGCTGACACAATGTGACAATGTCGTCCTTCTCGATTTGATGTTGCTGCTGCTGATTGATGATGGACCAACTCACATCGTTAAAGAGCTCGTCACGGTATGGAAAACTATTCAAACACTCGAACCTGACTAAATTGTGCAGTTTTGTGACAATTGTTTATGTAGAATGAAGAGATTTTTATGAAGCTGGTCCATTTTTAATATATGAATTGACATGAATTAATTTTAAATATTGTATGAATTACGAATTTTGAAGTGGTTGGCGTGAATAATCAATTCCTTACTGTTCACACGTTGCCATATTTTTGTATAAAAATAGGGAAATAAAATATTGTTAAAGTTAGTGAGAATACGACCATATTTAGCTTCAATCTGTTGTTTTTCTAGTGAAACTTCTTTGTCTGTTTATTTTTATGCAAAGGATCAGGTTTCGAAAGGAGGATTAAAAGCCAAGTTTGTCATCTGATGGCGACATTTAGTAGAAAGATAAACAATTCAAAACGGTGGCAGGATGAGATGAAAGTGGGAAATGTGCCGATGGTGTATTTTGTCATCGGTATGATTCTTTTGTAGCGTAAACATTCCGATTACTTTAATTACGTAAAGTAAACATTTCCCGAGCAGAGAAGGGATGAACAGAGATTTCATGCATGAAAGTGAAATAAATGAGTATGGCATTTCAATTTCTCGACAATATTTTTGTATCAAGACAACTTTTAAATACCCGGAAGCACTTTGTTTTTCGTCGTTTTCATTAATTTGAAAGAAAGCAGTAGCAAACTTTGCATGAAATTAAGTTGTTTGACGAATCTTTCAGCAATAAATGAGACTTAATTGCCTGTGGACTTGTCAATCAGCCTGCAAATTTGTCCTTTGCAAATGGGTGGACGTAAAATTTGACCAGGTTGAGTCAACTCGGGAAAATAATTATTTAGTAAAAACTTTTATATGATCCGATTATGCAGGGGATTGAAAAACGGGGAGGATTTTTAATAGAATAGCTTCCAGAAAAAAGTGAAATATATGTGTACATTTTCGGTACACAATTTAATAAAAATCTTTCAATATGGTTCATGTCACCTAAATAAAATATGGCGAAATTAATCTGGTATTTCGTCTTTGTGGGCAATAATTCACCCGATCTATTTAAGCGGAGATGGATATACATACATACCTATTTAATCATGTCTGACTCTGTTTTTTCAAACATTGTGCTCATTTTTGCAATAAATAAGCCAAGGAAGTCATCATTAGCAAAATGGGAGGATATTGTACTCATGAGCTTATCTTCCTCTAAACCTATGTTTCGGTAGATTTCAATCTCATCCTGATCCTCCACTCTGAAACATTCACATGGTTTAGCAATTGTGAGAATGTAACGGTGTCTGGCTTATCTCCAGAAGACAATTTTAGTTTGTCATGCTTCCCCTTTTTCCTCATCGGAGGGAGTGAAACTGAATTAGGGGTGGATTTCTCATATTTACCTCAATTTATTGGGTGCACTCCGCATTGTCAATGACGTTAAAGAATGGAATAAAACACAAAAGATGAATTCATCCCGGGGGACTCGTTTCACTTCAAAAAATAAAATAATTCACATACTCAAGTTGACTCTATTCAAAGAGAAAGCTGTGGAAACTGTATGAAATAAAAGGTTTGAGACGGCATCCCAAAAAGATAAGAAATAGGACGGTGACCAATATGCCTACTGACTGAGGGATGAAGACGCCAATGAGATTATTGCACTGCACGTCGTATTTATTTGTGACAGGTAATCTGTCCACGGAATAATGGATGCGCTACTATTTCCGGTACGACAATGGACAATCTCCATTCTTTAATTTTGTCCCTGTCTCGTTGCAAATATTTATTGGTATATTATGTACTCCTCAGATGAGAATATGTATATTGGATGATAGTAATTTATAGTGTCGAGAACAAATGTGGCATTTTTCTGTTCTGCAGTAGTGTATTAAGGAAATGCAATTATGCGACGTGGTGAAAGAACTGTACGTTAGATGGTCCGACTGACGCAAACCCCGATACACGCAGGCACCCCGATACATATAATCAAAATGTATTCGGATTGAAAATTTGAAGTCAGTTTTC